TCCCCTGACCGCCCCGTCCGCCCGCCTTTGAACCCCAGCCGATAGGCATCATATATCCCGGCTGGCCCATCCCCGCTCTTCCTTCATGCTCCAGGAGGGCAATGTTGCATAACGCACAAACCTGTCAACTTGCAGAGATGGTTTGGGAACGGTTGTGGTCAGGGTGGGAAAATACCAAAGTTGAAAATGCCGACAGCCTCGAGAGTCGAAATACCGACGGGCCAGAATCTCGACAGAAAAATAAAAAAAGAAAAAGTCTCTCTCCCTCTCTGTCTCCGTCTGTCTCTCTCTCTGTCTCTCTCGCTGTCTCTGTCTCTCTCTTTCTCGCTCTCTGTCTCTCTCTCTCTCTCTCTTTCTTTCTCGCTCGCTCTCTCTACCATACTCGTCTCGCTCCAGAAGAACCCCTCAAGGAATAATGTTGCAAACTAGCCGCTCCCCCTCAAATTGGTACTCCACCCGTCTGCGGAATTCGATGGGTGCTCCCCGATTAGTGATGCTAATGTTCAGAGAGGGGGCCCTGGAGGGCCCTCTTGGTGCCCACAGGGCTACCCCCGGGGCGTGGGATCAGCCTGATTCCGCTTATTCACATTTCGGCCCCTGGCGGCCACTTGATATGGTGCCGAGAGGGCAATTAGCTTTGGGGTGGGAATTTGCGGTGAGGTTGGGGGAATGCAACTTTTACGGGGTGCTTTCAGTGAGACTTTAAAGTATTTCAATGAGTCTTAAGAAGTGGCAATCAACAAAAAGAGCGAGAGCGACACCCGTGCAGCCTGATCACGGCCTCCCCCTTGCTGTCACCCTCCCTTTAAAGCCCACCACCCTGGGCTATGCGGTAATACGTTGACCTCATTGGCGCGTGCAGACCCCCGATACTGGGGCTGTGGGATTTACGGCCCGATCCGCTGGCGGACAGGACGAGGTAAGCCCCCGCACACCCCCTGGCGTATCGTCTAGCCACACGCGACGCGTCGTAAACGACCGTAAAAGGCTTCAATAGAGGCAAGGGGCTTCAATCTGGCACCCTGAATCGAAGATGTATACGCATTGGGTGGGAAAGTTGCCTTTTAAGGGTGAAGCGGGGGTACGGGTAGAATCAGTATTGTTTGAGGCGGGGGGTTTAGAGGGTAAGATGGGGTCGAATTTGACGTGCGGCCGACGAAATTTTTGTCACTATACCTTTAAAACAGGATTTTCTGCTCGAAGGCTTTGTGATTTCGTTTTTTCCTGCGCGCTCTCTCTATCTCTCTCTCACTCTCTCTCTCTTCTTTCTCTCTTTCCCTCTCTCTCCCTCTCTCCTTCTCTCTTTTGCTCCAATTTTAACAACAAGTCACATCTTGTAAATTAATTCATTTCCCCAAGTAGTCCCCCCAGTTGGACCCTCCTCCCCCTAAGAGTGGTCCCCCGAGGGCCAGGACCCCAGAAGCGTTTGGTGTGATTAAGGGCTTCCCCTTGCTCCTTCTCCTTCTCCTGCTCCCTAGAGACCCACCCTGAAGGAGATATAAGAGCACGACTCGTCCTGGAATGCAACAGGGGCAATGATTTTTCCTTTCAAACCAGCGCTGGGGCTCACAAAAAGGGGCTCTGGGCCCCAGGGACCCAGAGGGACCCTTTGAAAACCCCGAACCAAATGAGCACGCGACGGGTAAGGGTAGGAGGGGGGATTCGGCGGCGGAAATTGGATCGTCCCGTACCCTGAAAACGGCTGTGGGGTAGTGGGGATGGAAAGGGTGTACGAAGGTGTACAACGTAAGGGTGGGTTTGGGGGAAAATGGATATTCTTTAGTTTCTTGTGTTGACAATTTAGCTCTGTCTCACTCTCTCGCTCTCTCTCTCTCGCTCTCTCTCTCTCGCTCTCTTTCTCCTTCTCTCTTTTTCGCTATCAAACCGCAGAAACAAAAGTTATCCACGGTTTTTGGCCTGCAGAAATAACCCCCAGTCCGCGAGCGCCAGTTGTGCGGCACCCTTTCTCGACGCCACCATGCCCAAATGCGCTAATTAGTTTGAAGGAGCAGAAAATGGCCAGGGGCAACAGACACCGCAGCACCCAAAATACCCCACTGGTACCCCGTTCTGTTGGGGTGACAAAAAGGGTTCAATTGACCCAGCCGGGCCCTTTAGAATATTCCGATTTGCCTGGGGCACCCACCGCCAGAAGACCAGTTGACCCTCACCGGATTTGTACGGGGACTGCCTTTTCGGGAGCGCGAAATATAAGTCGATAATTGGGGGTGGGAACACGAGTGGTTGGGCTGGGCGGTGGTTTTTGATGGTGCACCTGTTAGGAGGAGGGAAACGGAACGGATTTGGCAAATCGGAGACAGAGAAGTGAGGAAGAGAGATTCCCTGAAGATTTTCTAGTCAATAACTACCGTCCCGTTTTGGACTACCTAAAAGAAAGTACGCAAAGTTGCTACCCCCAGCTTGAGTAGTTCCTAATCAACCTCATGGTCGGCTTCATCAAAAGCCCCCCTCAAGGCTTTGGGCAGGAAGTAGAGATGAGCAGATCTACCCCCAGGCACTCAACAACCTCTGACTACCCTTACTTGCTACCCATCTGGGGCCTCGGCTAAGCCGATCGGCAAACTTTTCGGGGCTTCTTGTGGTAGTGCAATGGCCTTGGTACCTTAGCATACCAAAATTGGGGATATTTAGACTGAATTAAACATTGCAGACTACAAAATTTGGATATTTAAAAAGATGAACATGTTAATGGCCTCCGGGCAAGAAATCAGGTGTGAGCTAATCTCGGGGCTATACCAAAATTAGGTGTTTTTTACTTTTCTCATGCATTGACGCAACAAAATTTGCATAAAAACGATAACGTGGCTCACATATACATATTGGCCCTTAGCCAAGGAGGGCCTCAATCCACCTAGACACCCAGCTGGGTGCCCACTTGACCAGGTGTCGTAGCTACTAGCTCGTATGTAGTGGGGAGTAAGTGTATAAATAACAAGTTGTTGTGTAAATAGGAGTGTAGGGGAGTCAGATCAGGGAGGAATAACCTAGAAAAATCTATAACAATCAAAAGGAATGTTTTTGAGCATAAAAAACTAGCCTATCCAAGCTTCAGCGGCCCCAAGCCCAAACCTAAGTCATGCCTAAGCCAAGCCATAGCTAAGCCATAGCGTAGCTTAAGCCGGGCCAAGCCAAGCCCAAGCCAAGCCCAAGCGATATCTATGCCGTGCCCAGGCCCGTAAGAGGGGGGCAGGGGAGAGCCGCCCCCCCGAAATCGACCGAAGGCCGAAAAGTTCATAAGGGGGGACCCTTATGATTTAATTTTTCCAAAAAATTTTTTGCCTGCGGCGCTGTTTTTGTCTATGTTTAACACTAGTTTTAGTGTTATAAACCCTATGTTTTCAAAAATTTTGCCTGCGGCGCTGTAGTTTTAGTCATATTTGTGAAAAATTTTTGGGGTCGCCCCCCCCCCCCGAAATTTGGGTTTGTTACGGCCCTGGCCGTGCCTAAGCATAAGCCAAGACCTAGCCAAGCCTAAGCCAAGCCTAAGCCAAGCCTAAGCCAAGCCTAAGCCAAGCCTAAGCCAAGCCTAAGCCAAGCCTAAGCCAAGCCTAAGCCAAGCCTAAGCCAAGCCTAAGCCAAGCCTAAGCCAAGCCTAAGCCAAGCCTAAGCCAAGCCTAAGCCAAGCCAAGCCTAAGCCAAGCCTAAGCCAAGCCAAGCCTAAGCCAAGCCTAAGCCAAGCCTAAGCCAAGCCTAAGCCAAGCCTAAGCCAAGCCTAAGCCAAGCCTAAGCCTCTCCTCATGTCACCATCCCTTTAAACTACCCAGAATCTACCCAATGATTATCCTCCTACCCAAACGAATACCCGGAAATTTGTTGCCCTGTTCCAGTTGTGCAGCCGGCTGTTGATGTGGTGTGTATGTATCCGGAATGTTGTTCTAGAGGCCCTGATTAGTGGGTGTATTGTTCTTCGGCCCCCAATGTGGCCACAGTTGTCCCGGGGGGAAATTGACCCTTTTTACGCTACTGCTCCCCCATCCCGGACACCAAATTAGCATATGGCGCGCCAAATTTGGATGTTCGGGCACTGGATGATGGATTTTGCGAGTTTCCGGAAAATTCAAGGGGTACGGGTTGGAATCTGGGGCTTAGAAATCCAGAATTTGGATTTGATTTGTGTTTGAAGTGTACGCAATGCTACTGTACGATCAGTACGCGTTTCCGCACGGATACTGTACGCCTAGGCGACGCTGCACTACGCAACGGTCGAAAAAATAGTGTTTCGCCTTTCGACCTTCTAAGCCTAATAAACCTAAAAATTCTTTTCCTTTCCTGATTGCCTGCTAAACCTCAACGCCCTCCTTGAACACCCCCTCGAGTAATTTGCATAACAAGCTGTTGGGGGTGGTTGGTGTCTTGCTCTCTTTCCCAGTCAGTCCGTTTGGCTCCTCTCAACACCTAATAAGCCAATAGCCGGAACAATGGCCCCACCCAGGAGGGGACAAGGCACAAACAGACACACTAGCATACAGCCTCTTTCAAGGGACTTGTAGGAACCACGAAATGAAGTAATAATTGGATGGCGGGAGACGGTGTGCGGCCTTGAAGTTTCGGTTGTGACGGTTATGGCTCCATTTTAGGGCGGATTTCGAAGGCCTAAATTCAAATTCTTAAGCGCATTAGCAGCGTAGCGTCGCGTACTAGTTCGCTATCCGTCCTGAAAAAAATTCGAAATTCGTGAACACCTTGGAAGGTCGATTTAAGGGCGCGAGACAGGCAATGCACAAAATTTTACCGATGGTTATAGCGTACCAGGACCGTATCTTTGTGAAACTCATGAAACTTTTGGCCTGAAGTGGGGGGTTTTTTGGCTTTGCCAGGCGTAGCGTTGCGGACTTTCGTCGTATCCAGAATGATTCGGTCATAAACAAGGATCCTTTTCCAAAACCCCTTTTTAAAGGGACGCGGAAGGCAAAACTTCGGGGTTACACTGGCTTGCCGTGGCGTAACGTTGCGCACGATTCCATTTCCCACTCGTACCTATGATTTTAGCATCTTCGCAGCGTAGCGCCGCGTACCATCACGGTATCGGATCGACCGGAAAAATAATTTTTAGCGAGTTTTCACCTGTGCCGAGTAGCCGTAAATTCCCAAGTTCGCTGCAACGTCAGGCTCCACCCAGTGAATCCGGTCGCCCTCACCCGCTCGCTCCAGAATTTAGTAGCTGCTCAAATTTCACCCCAAAACCCCAGCCCGGCACCCTGACACTCCATTATTCTGTATTTACGCAATGAGTCAGCTGGTGGTGGCCATGGGGCCTCCACCACAAGCTTCCGATTGTTTGCCCCGGATGGTTCGCAGGGGGGGGGGGGGACCCGGCCATGGTTAGGGGGGGCGGCTGGTTATTAGTTGAGGATGAAAAATTCATTGGGGTTGTTAGAGGGGTTAGGATTTTGAATTTTTAGAGGAATCGGGAGGTTTAAAGGGATCAAGCCAGCAAGGGTGAGAGCACGTGAAATTTGCGCATTAATGGATATCGTACCGAAAACGCATTAAACGTAGGTGGATTTCATTGCCGATAAAATAGTTAAAAAATAACAAAAATTTAGAATCTATTAGATTTAGAAAATTAATCTCTAGATTTTTCGATCCGTACCTACCTATAAAGCAGCCTAATGGTTTTTAGATAGTTTTTTTGCGTGTTTAGATAGTTTTGGATATATTATAATTGTTTATTTTCATGGGTGAATTCGATCCTGATTCCCAGCCTTCACTACCCCTTTAATTGATAGTACCAACCCCCGGTAGCTCAAATTTCTCACCCCTTCATCCGATCGCACCACACCGCCTTGGGTTAGTGAGTGGACGCCCTCAAATATTACCAGCCGGCCCCCAGGCAGTGGCCATTTGCAGAAGATATTCGAGCGCTTGTTAGGGTATATAGGGTATAAGATGAAAGAGAGAGAGAGAGAGAGAGAGAGAGAGAGAGGAGAGAGAGAGAGGGAGAGGGAGAGAAACTCTGAAACTTGTATAGCACCAGGTTGCCTACCAAAACGCTAAAATTACATGAATTTGAGGGAAAGACCGAACCTAAAACATTCTAATATAGTTGTTAGCATTAAAAGCACACCTTTTATAATTGTTACTCTTTTATTTTTCTAACTTCCGCTTTTTTCAGATCACACAAAGCCCGTTTGCGAGGATCGTGATGCCGAGTTGATATGCCCTCTTGGGACGGTTGGTTTTTGGGAAATTTCGAGTCACTTCATGGCTTTCGTGCCTCTACGGCCCCTTTGAAACCGAAAGTAGGACTTTCAAAGGGCATTGAAGGCCAATCTGTAGCAACAGGTTTTGACACGTTTGTGGCCGGTTCCTTTATACAACGAATATGTTAATTTAAAGCGACTTGCAAGACAAAATCGAGATACTGGTCCTTGAACCCTTTATTTTCAGGTAATCGCCGTGACATTGGCAAATTATGGGCGTTTCTCGATACAAGAATGCAACCCTACGGGAGACACCGATTTACGGACAGACTGCGCGAATACGGCGACCAAGGAGATTTTGGAGAAACTGTAGGTTTATTCGAATTTTTGGTATTTTTGTATTTACCGTATACTAGAGATGCCTTTATTCAGATTCAGACATTTGTAGAGTTTAATTTCTAGTTTTTTTCACTGTAGCTTTTATCCAGTTACACTAGGTATTTCACGGGTCTTTAAAAATCATATATTTTAATTGTTTAAGATCCAAACTACAACTATAACAATTAAGTTCGCCTTCCATGTACCTTTAACGGAATCCATAGCTCAGACCACCTAACCCTGCAGCTGACAAATTGCACACCCCAGGCGAGGGTGACCCCCTGAATTTTTCATTAGCTAAGCCGGCAATTGGCAACTCGGTATACGCGCTGCAGGACCCGGGAATTGTCCGCTCGACCGAGAATTTGAATAGCGTAACGGGTTAGGGTATTATTGGTGGGGGGCTGGGGAAGGGTGACTATGGGAGTAGCTGTCGAATTAGGGATTCTGAGGCTTACATGGTCCTTTAAAGGGACTGACAAGGTTTTGGTTTGTCGGTTACTTTTAAAATTCCGAGCTTATATATTCAGAAGCTTACATGGTCCTTTAAAGAGACCGGGAAGGGGACTTGACTATCCCTTTAAAATGCCGTGCTTATGGATTCTACGGCTTACCTGGTTCTTTAAAGGGACAGTGAAGTAAATTTGGACAGCATTTTAATGCTAATCCATAGCTAGCCAAAACCTCCCACTCAATTTTGCCATCCCGAGCCCTTTAAACCAAAACCTAAGTCCATTTCCTGGGTCCCATAGAGCCAAGATGGTTCTAATTGGCACCTCCCCCGAACTGGGCATTGCGCATCGGAGCCTAATGGAACCGGAAGTGCCCCAAGGGTGGCTAGGGATCTGGTTTGGCCCTTTTGTAACCCGCTCCCGGTTCCATTCACAAAGAGCACCATTTGGGAAGGGGGTGTTAATGGGTGTTAATGGGAGGCGGTTTTAAAGGGATTTGCAAGCGAATAGGGGAGAGATGAAGGACAGCGATTAATAAGTGACACTTGGAGCGTTAAAAAGTGCAAAAATATACCTGGCCGGCGGCTAGGTTTGATCGTTTCTCAGCTAAAAATTACTAAAAATATTATTAGTAAAAATACATAGCGGTTTTTGGCGAGTTTTAGCGTTTTTTATTCTTGATTTTGGTTTCCAGGCCTTTTAAACAAAAAATTTCTCCCAGTATTGACCATTGGAATTCTTTGATTAGCGGAAATTCTAGCCTTGTCTAGACCTAGCAGAAAATGCAGGGTTTGATTTCCAAGCTTACCAAGCCCTTTAAAATCATAAACTTTCCGTTTTTTGCCCATCCTCGAATTCCCAACCCCGGGAATCCACACGCAAACGGCCTTCCCACACTTTGCCCGCAGATCTGCATACATACGAGATCCGGGGGGATCCTCTAGGCCTAACAGTCTAAGAAGGGGCTGTGTGAAAAAGGAAATCCCGCCGCGACCACGCAAATGTTTGTTTTGATTACCGCGCGACGTGCTTATGCCCGGGGAGGAGTGAAGAGGCGCCGTTTTTTCACATAGCCCTTGCCGGCCTGACGGGGGGCAGGAGGCTCCCGCGCGTATGCTAATGCAGCCACAACACGGGGGAATGGGGTCTGGCAGTGGTTTTAGGGGCTAGGGGCCGGCAAAAACTACTTGTAAATTGGGCTTAAGATAATTTAATGTAATTGTTGTTTAATGCATTGATGAGTATCGAGTTTTAGTGTATTCAGCGCAATTTCTTAGAAGAAAGTTGTGTTTCACGCCGTAATGAATTAATGATCGCCTTATTCACCATACTCTGTAAATATTTGCCGACAGCAAGCTCGGAATGAGCTATTGTAACGTATAAAGTATTGTAAGTTTTAGCCTTGATAGTACCTCGACGTTTGCGTCATTTGGATAATTCGTAGCTTTGGAAGTCTATCGATTCGATTGAATCGATTCTAATCATAGATTCATCCACTTTCCGATCGCCATTAAGGATTTTTTGGACCGAGAGAGAGAGAAAGAGAGAGAGAGAGAGAGAGAGAGAGAGAGAGAGAGCGCTAGAGAGAGCAAGCGATAGAGAAGACTCTAACTCCAACACCCCCTTTGATCCCTGGAATCGATCCCCTGGCCCCCGATCTTCCTTTGGCCATGAATAGCCCCCTCAGGATTGTCTCTAGGAGTGCCGCGTACTGTCATTAACTGGCCGCCCCCCTAGGTAGTATCCAAGACACTGCCACAAAAAAGACGCGCCCTCGGAGTACAAAGGGACTGTCTGGGGCGATGGCGCGTGTAATGTGACACTGCGCGTTGACTAGCGCTATGGCTTGGGGGGAGTTGCTTGGGTACTGGCTTGAGGGGGGTGTAGCGGAATCGGAACAAGCAAAGTTGGGAACAAGCTTAGGCTTGGCTTAAGCTTGGATTAGGCTTGGCTTAGGCATGGCTGAGGCTTGGCTTAGGCTTGGCTTAGGCTTGGCTTAGGCATGGCTTAGGCCTGGCTTAGGCTTGGCATAGGCTTGACTTGAGCTTGCTTGAGCTTGGGCTTGGTTTAGGCTTGGCTTAAGCTTGGCTTAGGATTGGCGTTGGCTTGGCGAAGCTCGACTAAAAATTTGTCCAGGCTTGGCTTAAGCTTGGCTTAGGCTTCGCTTAGACGTAGCTTCGCTTACCTTAGGCCTAGCTCAGTCTTTGCTAGTTTTTGCGCCAAAACCTCGGCCTTTAGCAGCCCCAACCAGACAGCTAGGTCAATTAGTGAATTAGGTACCCGATTCACGCATGAACAGCTTTTTTGGGTGCCCCAACTGGGCCTTAACTGGGCCCCAAGAGCAAAAAGGTTGGCACCAGATGGCCGTGTCCCCGCTCTGGTCGCCTCTGGGCCTTTTTGTAGACATTTTTAGGGAAGCGACTGCCCGGTTGGGGGGGGGGGGGCACAAATTATAGCGTTGCCAAAATTATGGCGTGCTGACGGCAGTAGGGGACACAAACAGACAGAAGGCATGGGAAATGAGCAGGCAGGCCGGGAGGGGGATATGCAAATTTTGGGAATGCAAAAAATCAAACTACATCGGGAAAACGCGTTTTAAGGGCTTGGAAAGGCGAAAAATAAACCCTCCCGCTTCCAGTTGCTCCGGGCGGAAGTCGTGCCGATTCAAGGTCGACAAATACTTATTCAATGACCCGTGCCCGGGCACCTCCAAATACCTTGAGGCCTCGTACAGTTGCGAAGAAGGTCGGTAAAAAAGATGGCGTGGAGTTAGGTGTCGTGCGTAGTCATGAAATAAGTACAGTAATTCCGTGATCCTGCCGGCTTGGTGTCGTTAGTTGTAAGTTTAGTCATGCGTGGTTATCGACTGATACCGTATTCCTACGTTTCAACTTGTGTCGTTAGGTGCCGTTCGTAGTCGTGTGGTGATTTTGTATTTTTAGGTTTTAGCTGGTGTAATTAGGTGTGCTGCGTAGTGGTAGACCGCTACAGTACCCTCTGATGTTCCACCAGTGTCGTTTGGTGTCGTACGTAGTAGTGAGCCTCTACAGTAACCCACTGCTGTCAACAGATGTCTTTAATTTGTCGCATGTAGTCGTGTTGCAATTCCCAGATTTCGATAACTTGCCCACATCTACAGTAATCTTATCGTACGTATCGTACAGTATTGTATCATATCCTATCCTATCGTACCGTACCGTATCGTATCGTATTGTACCCCTTCCAGCTGCAACCGCCGTCAGAAGTGCTCCGTCCCAGTCGAAAATCAAACCTTCGGGGACTCGTGCCCCGGGACGTCAAAATATTTGGAAGTGAATTGGGACTGTATTCCTGGTTTGTGTTTTGTGGCATGTAGTTTGTACTCTAGCGGAAAGCCCACCGTAAAAAATACAACGTATTTTAGAAACCACGACCACTACTACCACTACGGTAACGACTACGAAAAAGCCGCATTTGCCAGCCATTGACGAGGGGTCGGATTCTTTGGAAAAAGAGTGAGTTTCAAGCGTTTTTAAGGGTATTTATCAAGTTAAAAATGACAATTAAGATGTTAAATGATGGTATTTCTACCGTATAATTTGTAGATTTAGACTTGACGAGGAGACGACCCCTAAAAGATGCCCCCCAGTTCGTAAGGAAGGCTTTGATTGGCCGACCACGCTAGCCGCCCATAAACAAACCACAAAATGCGGCGAGGAGCGATACGGTAAGATTAAAAAATTGTTTTTTTTTGCTTTAGAATATTGTTTTATTGCTACATTTAGAAGAATATTTTTTTTAGGCGAAATGCACTGGAATTGCCAAGCCGATGGCCAGTGGGACCAGCGGGGTCCCGACACGACCGGATGCTGGAGCGAATGGACAGAGACGAGGAGGGCACAAATGAACGAAGCGGCAGGACGGGAGGATTTTACTGGGATTGCTGATGTTGTACGGTAAGTGGAGAGAGAGAGAGAGAGAGAGAGAGAGAGAGAGAGAGAGAAAGAGAGCAGAGAGAGAGTGAGAGAGACAGAGAGTGAGAGAGAGCGAGAGAGAGAATTATAGAGAAGAGAGAGTGAGAGAGACAGAGGCAGAGGGAGCGAGAGTGAGAGAGAGAGAGAGGGGGAGAGCGAGAGCCGTAATGACTTCCTCTTTTCAGCCAAGTCCGCTCCGACTCAAAACGCCCGATGGTCGGTGGCGATCTCCAGAAGATCATCAGCCTCCTCGAGACGGTCACCGAAAAAGTAGTCGACACCCCGGAAAGCCGTCCAATCCGGAAACAAATGGCTTCGGTAAGTAGTAAAAAAATTACAAACCGAAGATATTCTAAAATACAAAAAAATGAGATTTCATGCTTTTCAAAAATTGATTTTTAACGTTATAATTTTTTTATCCTATTTTGAACGCCACTGTTTAGCTGGCCATCGAAATCGGGCAAAACCTCAACAAAAATCGTGACATCTGGAAGCACTGGAGGGAGCAGCAGCAGAGGTACAGAAATCTAACGAAAACGCAATCCCTTTATTTTGTTTCAGAAGTTTCGGCTCGAGGCTGATGACTACGGTGGAGAGCTTGACCGGCGCCGCCGGGCTCGGCAAGGAGGAATCGACCGAGAGCTATGTGCAGCCAACAATCAAGGCAGAGCTGTCCGGGATTCGGGTACGAATTTTTACGTTTAACGGAACATGAAAAGCGTCTTTTGACGTGCTTTTTCATGGGGCAAGCTAGCAAAGTTTTGAAGAAATCCCAAAAAATCCGGCATTTGTAATCAATTTTTTCCAGAAAACCGACCTCCAAACCTACACGCAATATCCCTCAATGGCCGTCTGGGGCCGGGATAGCGTGGATACGGTGGAGATTCCTGGAGAAGCCCTTCAGAATGGTAAATATAAAAATTAAAACTGGAAATAATTAACTTTAGAAGCCGCCGAGGTTTACTACGTCCAGTGGGAGAACCTTGGGGAATTTATGGCCCCGCCCCCGAAAACCGTCGTCAGAGAGGTAGCCGGCAAGAATGGGCCTTTGAAGTGGGTTTAATAAAGTCTGAAATAGCTTTAATAACTATAATTATTTTTCTTCATTTTCATTCTTTTCAGGGAAGAGCTGAGGATCCGGAAAGTCGTCTCAAACATCGTTGGAGCTACCATTCTGGAGAATGGACGTGCCAAGCCGATGGCCAGACTGCTGAGACCGGTATGGAAAAATCGAAAAACTGTTGTAAAATTATTTTTCAGATCGTTTTGAATTTCCATCACCGTCAGGAGGATCTTAGCGGAATGGGAAATGCGGAGTGTGTATTTTGGAATGGTGCGGAGGAGAAGGTACGGTAATTTCTCTCTCCCTCTCTCTCTCTCTCTCTCTCTCTCTCTTTCTCTCTCTCTCGCGCACTCTCTCTCTCTCTCTCTCTCTCTCTCTCTCTCTCTCTATCCCTCTACCTACATTTTTCCAGTGGGACGCAAACGGATGCCGTATGGAGATGCACAACGACACGATGACCGTCTGCCACTGTGACCACCTGACGCACTTCGCGGTCTTGATGGACGTCCGAGGCCATCAGCTTTCTGACCTCGACGAACAGCTGCTCACCTTCATCACGTACGCTGGCTGCACGCTCTCCATCTTCTGCCTCTTATTCACCTTCTTGGCCTTCCAGGTCTTCAGCCAGGGCGGAGGTGAGCTATCGGTTAAAAATTAAATAAGACCAATTCTAAATAAATCTAAATAAATTTTATCTAAATAAATTTTATGCCTAAATTTTCAATTTAGGAGATCGCGTGTTCATCCACAAAAACCTCTGCCTCACTCTCGCCGCGGCTGAACTCGTCTTCCTGCTCGGCATCTGGCAAACGGAGCGCCGGTTGGAATGCTCGATCATCGCCGGCGTGCTGATGTACCTGTTCCTGACGTCGTTGACGTGGATGTTGCTCGAGGGATTCCAGCTTTATCATATGTTGGTCGAGGTAGGCATATTAATCGATATTTTGTCTTTAATTTCTTATTAATTTAATTTTATGATACTCTTATTCCAATTTTTAGGTGTTTCCGCGAGGCTCGAAAAAGGTGCGACTTTTTTTCATCGGCTATGGTGCGCCCTTGCTAATTGTTGGAGCCGCGTGGATTTTCGATTCGCGTGGATTTGGAAATGAAAAGCATTGCTGGTAAGTTGCGCTTTCTCTCTCTCACGCTCTCTCTCTGTATTTCTGTCTCTCTCGCTCTTTCGCTCCCCCTCTCTCGCTCACCCTCTCGTCCCCTTCCTCTAGCTCGCTACCTCGCCATGTCTCTCTCATTCTCTAGGTCTCTCGCTTGCGCTCACTCTCATCCTCCCGTTTCAGGCTCCGAACCAACGACCTGTTCACCCTGTGGTTCATCGTCCCAGCCGCCCTAATCCTCGTCTCCAACACGGCCTTCTTGGTGATGACCCTCTGTATCGTCTACCGCCACTCCAACGGTGGCTATACCCCGTGTAAGCGCGAAGAAGACGGTGGCCGGAGTGTCCGTTCCTGGGTAAAAGGGGCCATGGGCGTCTCCTGCCTCCTCGGCGTCACCTGGGCTTTCGGGCTTTTCTGGGTTGACGACGGGACATCTACCATCGCCGCGTACCTCTTCACTGCTTTCAATGCGCTGCAAGGGCTGTTCATCTTCCTGTTCCACGTCGTGTTCTCGGAGAAGGTACGCTTATGTCTCGAATTCCGACTTACGCCTAATTCCAGATGCGCCGCGACGCCCGCGAGTGGTTCGCCAAGCACGGATGCGGATGTGGAGGCGAGCCAAAAACCTCCGAAAATCGCCAATCGACCCCGAATTCCGGAACCGGAACCGGAAGTGACTTCTTGGTAAGCTGGAGTCGATTTTCGCCCTGTTGCTATCTGCTTCTAATCGAAAAATCTGACTTTCCTACTGTAGAAAAAGGTGACGCGTCGCCCGTACACACCGGCCGCACAGCTGCCAAGCGTTTGTAAGCTACAGGGAAATTTTGACATAACTAATAGTGATATTTCTACAAACTTCTCCACATTTTCTGTCCATCCGTGTGCGCTAACAAGTGTTAGAAAAGGTCGAAAATGATGATTAAAAAATGTTTATTATGCAAATTCAAGAATTTTCGAGTTTGTAGTCAGTTTAAACGCGTTTAAATATTTTTTGACGTTAAAAACCATCAAAACAATACTGAAAAAATTGCACAGTTGTACGGTAGAAGTTCAATCATACTTAAAAATACCTTAAAGACTTAAAAAAATCCAAGGGTACGGTAAAAAGCTAAAAAAATTATTTTATTAAAATCCAAGACTTCTGTAGAGGCTCCAAAAAATACTCTAGAAAAGTTAAAAAATTTATGGCTACTGTAGAAACGTAAGACGCATAAAACTAAATTTGCAAAATTTCAGGTTACTGTGGAAAAGTTGAAAATACGGTAGATCGAAAAGAACAGTTTAGAATTGGTCCCTGGTCCTACTAACTGTCCAATTTCAAAATTAGGACTTTCTGAGTGTGCCCAAACTTCCGTAATAATCCTAAACGCTCCGTTACAGTACCCATCGACGGCTGACAAGTACGGTGGGATCGTGGTTGCGCCAGGATACTATCAACATCACGACGTCGTTCCCGTTTATCAATATCAACACCATCCACATCATCATCACCCATATCAAACTCAAATACATGGTATGTACTTGAAAATACTACTTACAAATACTTATAAAAAGTCAGCAAAATTCAATTTTTTTTTATCGTCAAAAACTTCAAATTTTGGTCGAAAAGGGCGAAATTTCGGAACCAGATTTAATTTCCACATTAAGTTGCTGTAAAATTATGGAGTAGATTATGGAGTATTATGGAGAATAAATAATGATAACGTTTTGTAAAGGTAATACGCCATGAAAAATCTATTTTCAGCCCCGATGACCGACTACGATACGATCTCCTACGGTGACATGGTGGCAGGGGCCCAGTATAGCATGCGCTCCCCGCCATTTGTCGCCCGAACCCTGCAGAGGGGAGCTCCGCAATATTATAGTCAGGTAACTTTTAAAAAAGTTTATCAATTACCATTTCTTATTTCCAAAGTATTTTTGAAACAATTTTTGCAAGCTTGAAAAACAGACAAATCTAAAAATTAGGATAAAATCTATATAATTTTTGGTCCGAATTGATGTGGTCTTTTTTAAAGGGACCGGGACAGCTAGAAACGGCTAATTTTCGATTTTATAAAAAGATTTTCTAGCGCAATTCCCCCCATGACTTCCGGATGTACTACCCCGGCTATCCGGGCCCCACCGCACCCGAGCCCACCCCGACCCGACCACCCCCAGAATTCAGGTATTAGAAAACGTCGACAAACAGCCTGTAATGGAAAACCAAGTTTTTTGGCATTTCTAAAAGTATGAATTTAATCAAAAATTTTATTTTAGCCCTCCCCCTCCTCCTGGTCAAATTCCACGAAATTTGGCGGCCGCCGCAGCCGCTCAACAATGCGGGACGACTAGTGCAGGTAAGAAGAGAGAGAGAGAGAGAGCGAGAGAGAGAAAGAGAGAAACAAAGATAAGGAGAGAGCGAGAGAGAGAGAGAGCGAGTGAGAAAGAAAGCTATATTTTATTTGTATTTTTCAGGAGTTACCGTAGGCCGCCGTCCCCCCTCCAGTAAGGCCAGCGACGATTCCGCATATTCCGAGCAGCCCTTTCACAGGTATGCAGTAAAACCCCTGTGTTCTTCTATCAAGGCCTGGAATTTAGGAACTACGCTTTAATACGCGATTAAAAAAAACAATAATTTACATTTTTCAGCTCTCGCTACGATTCTGACCGTGTGAGTGTGCTGACGCAAGAAGTCATTCCAAACGGCTCCACCGTGCTGCGCATTGACATGTCCCGCAATCCACCGATTCTTGCTCACGAGGTCTAGGCCTTGCAGCTGAAGGTGATGCTCACCCTCCCTCCCCCATCTTTCACATGCTTATATCTGAAAAACGGGCTCCCAGAACGTCAATTTATTTTTAAGTTGCCATGACCAATTTTGGCGGGGTTACGGTGGTTTTGAAGAAAGAAAATTATCAGAAAAAAATTCGAGCAAATGGTTAAACAAAAATAAAAAGCTACCGTAACCCTGCAAAAATTTCCTCTCCCTTTGGAACAATATTTTGTGACCAAGCTACCATAACCCATTCACTTGTCGGCATTTTCCATTTTCCGGATTTTTAAATCACTTGCGCCGGCTTCTCGCTCCCCCCCCATTACTGGTAGCCATGATATGTGCGAAATTCTATATGACAATTTCGATTTTCCGCCACGATGTTTGTTTTACAATATTTTATCATACCTCCCCGCACCCGTGACATCGCCTTTTCCGAATGTTTTTATCTGATTTTGGAGAGTTCGAATATTCTAGTCCCGTCGCCTTGCAATAAATTTTCAAAGGTTTTGAGGTGTTTTTAATCAAACGCACTGAAATGAAAGTACAAATGCCCAAGTAAGCGTCCGCAAGAAGTACTGCTAGGTGCGCAGGAGCTAGGTCCATAAGAAGTCGGGCTACTTCAGCAAGAGGTCGCGCGATGTCCTCAAGAAGTACAGCCACATCCGCAAGAAGTCGAGCGACGCTCGCAAGGAGTAGAGTTAGATTCGCAAGTGCTGAGCCGATGTCCAGAAAATATCCGGGCTTCCTGGTCCCTCGAAAAACAATTTATTTTTGCGACACAGTCCAATACAGGGTAAATTAGCACAATCACACAAAAAAATAAGTCAATTGGTGTGGTGTGGTGTCAATCAGGGTCTATGCGACGTGTCATACAGCGTCTGTCTCTCGGTCGCTTTGCGTGGGCTGGCTGCGGAGGTCTTCTGATGGCGCGTTCTGCGCAGCCGCCTCAAGCTGGACCATCTGCAAAAAGGGGAATGTTCAAAAGTAAAATTGGACTACTATTCTAAACTTACACACTATAAATGTTAATACCAAATACTACAAAAATATCTTACCTGGTCAGGCGTTCGGTCGTCCTGTTGAACCAGACGCCCGTTCCCATCGACTCCTTCCACGGGCAAGTAGGCCTACAAGCATGGCACATCAATGTGTAAGTCAGGTCCAAGCTAAGCCTAATCATGGGCTTACCGCTAAGCCTAGGTCAAATCATACGCCTAATCCTGAGCATGCGCTCAAGCTAGCCTAAGCCGAAGCTAATCCTGAGCCTGAGCCTAAGGTTAAGCTAATCCTGAGCCTAAGCTAGACCGAAGCTAGACGTAAGCTAAGCCTAAGCTAAGCATAAGCTAACCCTAAGCTAAGCTAAGCCTCAGCTAAGCCTAGGCCTAAACCTAAGCCGAGCTTGTCTCAAATTCGGCAAAATCGTCTCAGAAATTAAAGAAAAGGAAAAATAAAAGTTCGCGTACCAGCATGTTCATCGGGAGGTTCTGGGTCGGCTGCTTCAACTGCCCGAGAACTTGGCGCTTCTCGTTTTCCAGTGCCTCAACTCCCGTCTTGACGGCCCTCAGCGCGTCGCTCTTGTCGGCCATCTAAAATAAATAGAATTTTTTTTGTTTTTTTTTGGTAAGATTTGGCGGGTAAGAGGGTCAGGTTGACAAGAGAGGTTCCGTTTTTCTCCTACCTTGCCGATCAGCAGCTTGTAGGCGACATCAACCTCTTGGCGCAGCTCTTCGATCCTTCCGAGCAGAAAGGGGCGCTGCTTCGTTTCCCAATCGTTGAACTCCTATAAAGCAGGAGCTACAAGACCCTCAACTGTCATGGGTAAAGCAGCGTCATGGGCTATGGTGTTTTTAGGTTCTGGACTGTTAGCCGGGGGGAGGATTTTTAGCAGGGGGAAACATACATTTTGAAATTTGTCATACATTTTTGACCAAACAAACAAAAAAATTTTGAAAACTTTTATAGTTTTATATTCTTGTATACCTAAAAACTATCCAAAAAATGGTTTATATTTTTTATAGGGCCGTCGAGAATCACAGGGAAAAATTTGGTCTCCCCCGCTAAAAATCGCCCGCCCGGCTGACAGACCAGAACCTAGCTCTCTCACTCTCTCTCTCTCTCTCTCTCTCTCTCTCTATCATCCCAAATGATCTTTGCTAGCCTCGCCACCCCCCATCCGGGCCCACATCTCACCTGGTGCAGGGAGTCCAGATCCACGCCGTCGTACGTCTGGGCGGCTGCGTAGGCGTTGCGGATGGTTTCTCCCTGCTCATCGGAGAGGCGTGCCAACGCTGTAGGATCCGTCTTCTGTTCATTCACCTGGAAAGATTCGTTGTGATGGGCGTCAAGGTATGGTACAACGTTACAAGGAATTTGGCATCTATTTTAATTCCTTTAGATGCCTAACCTTGACGACCGCCGGCAGGCAGCGGGCGATCGGCGCATCCTCGTCCAGCGACTTCAGGTAGGCCTTCATCCACTCGGTCCGAACGATGTCTTGCTTCGACGCATATCCCGCTGCCAGACGTTTCTCGACGCTGTTCCAGAGGAGGGACTGAAAATCCTCGTTAAATTCGGTAAATCCTGGGGAGAGGCCGAGAAGCGCGACAGAGAGAGGGAGAGAGAGAGAGAGAGAGAGAGAGAGAGAGAGAGAGAAGGCGGGGATAAGAGACGGAGCCAGATAGAGAGAGACAAAGAGAGTGCGAAGAGACAGGGTGAGAAAGAGAGAGTGAGACAGAGAAAGCGAGACAGCGGGAGAGAGAGAGAAAAAGAGAGAGAGCGAGAGAGAGAAAGAGAGAGAGAGGGACAGAGAGACAGAGAGCGATACCTGACTGGAGAGTTCGTCTTCTCGGCGCTGAAGTTTTCGTCGCAGCAGGTCGTATTGGGCCCAGGCCTCCTCGAATTCCTTGTGCTTGGGCGCGATTTCGATCAACGTGTGTTTTTTCTGTAATAAAAAAGAGTTTTCTTCAGTAAGATAAGACAAGAAGATAAGATAAGTAAGTAATTAAGGTAAAAGGAGCGGCTCAAGTCTAGGAAACCCCCCCAGCCGACTTTTCAACTTTTCTACCTTCCTTATTTTTATTTTCACTACTTTTTTGACTGAACTGCAATGTAGTCTTACTAATTAGCCTACGGCGAACATTTTGGTATACTTTAGAGCTCGCTAGCACAGAGGGGGGCCGAGATACAAAAGTTGGTGCCGGCTAGGGGGGGTTTCTAGACTCTTACCAAAGGAGCAAGAAACAGGGCTTTTCGGTGTTAGCAGGACAGCGCCAATTTGGTTAAAAATGTTGTGGGAATTTTTTGTTGCGCTTTTTTGGGTCATTTGTCATACATTTTCCAGCAAAAAAGTTTTAGGATAAGCGGAGACTAGGAGACTAGAAAACCACTCCATATCTACAATCTTAACAGGAAGGTGGAGATGGAGAATTTAAAGGTGAGAGAGCGAGAGAAAGAGAGAGAAACCCACCGTCATAATGAATCAATATGTAGGTCACATAGTGATAGAAGTATAACTACAGAGTTCACCGAGAGCCCTTTTTTTGATACCTGAAGTCAGACGGTGATAAAGGAAAACTTCCGGCGAACCTAATCAGTATGCAAATTCCAGATGCTGTCTTCGGCTCGGCTTCGACTTGACTTGGCTTGGCTTCGGCTTGACTTGGTTTCGACTAGGTTTCGGCTTGGCTTCGGCTTGGCTTCGGCTTCGGCTTGATTTGGCTTCGGCCTGGCTTCGGCTTTGCTTCGGCTTGGCTTCGGCTTGCTTGGCGTCGGCTTGACTTGGCCTCGGCTGGGTTTCGACTTGGCTTCGGCTTTGCTTCGGCCTGGCTTCGGCTTTGCTTCGGCTTGGCTTCGGCTTGCTTGGCGTCGGCTTGACTTGGCCTCGGCTGGGTTTCGACTTGGCTTCGGCTTGGCTTCGGCTTGGCTTCGGCTTGGCTTCGGCTTGGCTTCGGCTTGGCTTAGGCTTGGCTTAGGCTTGGCTTAGGCTTGGCTTCGGCTTGGCTTCGGTTTGGCTTAGCTTGGCGTCTAGCTTTAGACATAGGGTTAGAGTCATGCTGAGTTTCCGAAGAAAAACGCTAAATTCGCATAAAAAAACGAGAGACGCCTAAAACGCCGAAGATGGGCCCTTCGATGTCCTGTTCGAGGAGCGGGGAGGGCGGATGGGTAGCAGCGATTTTTAAGGAATTATTTGTGTTTTCGCAATTAGAAAATATACATCTTCATTACGCTTACCCATACTATAGAAGCAATACAAGCACTGTGCAGGGTTCTTGGCTGGCTATCTATCGCTACCGGAATTTGTAGGAACTCGAGAAGAAAATATAGATTTTCACAATTAAAAATGGGAAAATTGAGCATCCAACACCCAATTTCGGGCTTGGCTTGGAAGCGAAAAATCGAGGAGGACAACGCAAAAATGAGGCAGATATATGCAGCGGATTGGAGTGGAAAACACAAACTACAAAAAAGTCGAATAGTAACAATAAATTATAGAAAATTTGTTGAGGCAGTTCGAAATTTGAATTTAAGTTTTTAAAGTTAGAAAACCGCAGAATTGAGGTATTCCAGGAAGAAGGATTTAACTTTTCTTAATAGCTCTCAGTTTTCTATAGCTTAATTTTTGAAAACGTAGATAAATGAATTACTAAAGTCACGAAAAAATTAAAAAGTTCAATCCCGCTTCCTGAATGGCAAAATCTAACAAAAATATGTATGTACATAGAATTTCTGGGCCAGTTGAGACGGTCTGGATGGGGTTCTAACGAAAACCGGTAGTCTGTAGTCTGAAGCCTGTAGCCTGTAGTTTTCGAATTTGCATATTTCCAGCTGCTTTAAGCACTAGGCTACTGACTACAGACTTCAGGAAAACCAGAAAAGAAGAACGGTACCGTTATCGCCGATTTGTAGCCTGTAGTTTGTAGCTTTTAATGTCTATGGACTTGTCCAGAGCTGGTTTAGGCTACAGACTACAGGCTATACAGTCTTTTGAAGACTCTATCGACAATTTGAAGTCTGTAGTTTATAGTCTGGCGTGTTTAAAATGTAATGTTGTATACTATACACTACAGGCTACAGGCTATAGGCTACAAACTCCAAATTTTCCCAAAACAAGCTGCTCAAGCCTTCTCATCAACGATTCCGATCTTGATCAACGGCGGGACGAGCTTGGCCACTGACGACGAGTCCTAGAGGTTTCATTAGTGCGTTAAAGACCTGGCATACCTGCTTGACAGCTTCCGGGAGGGCCAGCGCCACCGGGAGCACCATTTTCTGGACGATGGTACCACTCTGGCGGGTGAGAAGGGCGATCTGCTCCTGGTAGATGGTCAACTGGTGCTCGAGGGCGCGGTTCTGAAAGAGAAAAAAAATAGTTGAGCTTTTTTTAAAGAGGTGGTCGAGCATTAAAGCTATAAATATACATATATTATTGCCTAGCCGGCTACTTTAAACCCCAAAATTCACTCACATGCAACCGGAGCTTCTCGATCTCAAATGCTTGCTCCTTGGATTGAGTGCGAAGTTGGTCCATCTAAAGAAAATAGCAGATTAAAGTATTAAAAAGCCAGACTTTCGAAGCTTACAAAGCTACTCACTTCCTGATGCTTCATCTGCTCCTCCATCTTTTTCTTTTCCCGGCATCTGGCCACGGCGTCGGCATTCCGCTTCCGGTAGTCCTGGTAGACGGGGGTTTCTTTGATCTGGAAAATTGGATGAATAACTTTCTCTTCCCCTCTCTCTCGCTCTCTAGCTCTCTCTCTCTCTCACTCTCTCTCTCTCACTCTCTCTCTCGCTCTATCGATTCCGATAGTTACCAACTTACAGCATGTGGCAATGGGTTGTAGGACCGTCTTTTCTTCGGGAGCTCGGCGGCTTCTTCCTTGGTCACCTTTTCCTCTCCACTTCCCGAGCTTCTCGAGCCATCCTCGTCACTTACTAAAATTCAGAATTTGATCCATATCGCTTTTTCCCCTCCCGTACTCACATTCACTATCGCTCTCTCTCACTCACTCACTTTCTCTCTTTCTCTCTCTCTCTCTCTCTCTCTCTCTCTCTCTCTCTCTCTCTCTTTATCTCGCTCTCACCTGAAAACATCCGCTTCCTGGGTGGGTATTCCTGTGAAGAAGTCGGTGACAAAGAAGAGCTGGAGGTTTCTAAACACAAATTGAAAATTTACATTTATTTCTACCAGAAGGAGTAACATTTGGTGAGCCACTGTCACTACGAGCAAAATGGGCAAAAAGGGCTGGGTCGATGGTGATCTCGGCTGCAACGGAATCTACACAACTTGTTTAAGGTCTATTTTTCATTTCCCTACTCAGGACGGCAGGCGTGCTGATGGTGCGCGAGCGGAGGAACTGCTTGTGGCGGAATTTTGGGTGCGAGGGGAGGGTTTGCTAAAAAAATTCAATGAATCATTACATAATTAGAAGCCATTTTAAAGGGACCAGAAAGTGCTCAAATCGATCCACCGCCAGCTAGATCTCGACAATTAAAAGCTCGGCTAAAAGGGTTTAGTTAGCGGGAAAAATTGCTTAGTTAGCGGGTATTTTGATAAAGCTAAAAATTTTCGAGACCTAGTTAAAGCAAAGTCAATTTTTACGCTTCGAGAGTCGTCTAAATGTACAAGAAAAACATAGAGAACTGTCGCAAACTGACCTCTTCAGTCTCCTGGCACGCCTCCAGGCCCACCATCGTGGCGTCCAATCGCCCAAGTGGCTGGAATTACATTCATTTTTGAAAAAGACATAGAAAGCTAGAGAGCTAGAGAGATAACAAGCGAGAGAGAACGAGAGAGAGAGAGAGAGAGAGAGAGAGAGAGAGATAACGAGCGAGAGAGAGACGGAGAGAGAAAAGCCAAAAAATACACGGCGCTGAAAAGGCAGAAGTTAAAGACGGAATCCGGTCTCAGGCCGTTAGCGGGGGGGAGGGGGACAATTTCCCAGAAATCCCCGGCGGTTGCCTGACAAAATAAAAACATAGATAGAAGCATTTCACAACGTTTTTAGATATAAAAAAACCACGTAAAAATTGTAGGAAAAATTACTTCAAATTTTCAAATTTCAGAAAATTGAAAAGATTTTTGGTAATTCATATTGAAAAACTATACAAATACGTTAGATAAATCAATTTGTCCGCGACAAACCGCCCCGCGCTAGCTCACCAGTACCAGGGTGCGAATTTCCGAATCTGGCATCGTTGGAATCGAATCCGGTTGGAAATTTAGTGAGTGAAACGTAGCGATTTAACCACATTTTGAGTAGCCTTAGGAACGTTTTCCCCAAAAATCTCTGCTAGTTAACCATTCAAACAACATTTAAAAAAGTTGGCACGAGGCGGAAGAGTGGAAGGAAGGCGAGGGGGTGAAGGGGGCGATGGCTAGTGTCCTGTGTGTCTGTCTGTCTCTTTCTGTCTCTCTTTCTGTCTGTTTGGTGGTGGCCATTGAAGAGACCCGGAAAGTGGGGTTGGAAACGGGCAGCCAACGGGCTAGAGAACATCAAAAATCGAGAGACCCCAGAGATCGCTAGGTGTGGAGCGGGCGCGTTTTTTGGCATTGCCCTCCGCATAGACGGGCTGCTGGCCTCGGCTGGCCAAGGCGAAGAGACCACATCGCCATTTTGAACGGAATTAAATTCAAGATAACAACAAAAAATTGGGGATGAATTTACCTAAATAAAAGCTTGTATTTTACAAGGTATTAAAATTTTTAAAATGGTTTTTGAAAAATTTAATTTTTATGAGCCTTTTCAGCGCCTAAATACAGATTTGTCGTTTTTAGAGCTAGGTTTTAGGTTTAATTTACATTCAAAAAGTTGCGACTTCCATTTTAAAAAGATATTCCAGCAAAAGAAAGCAAAATAATTACAAACGAAATCTAAAAAATTCGCTACATTCAAATAAAAAATTATGCACTAAAATAGGTCTAGGCTACTTTTTTATTATGTTTAAACAAAAAAATCAATCAATAAATGCACTATACATTTTTGGAAAAATGAAAGCTATAAAGTTGAAAAAAGCCATAAAAATTGAAAATTCAGGGTTTTTGATATTTCTGATATTCCGACCAAACCTCGAAATATTGCAAAAATTGGATTTTCTCTGAACCATAAAAAAATTTAAAATGTTGTAGTTTTTCTAACACTTATCGATCGATTTTATCTACCGTTAAGTTTTACAAAAAAACGCTGAAAAACAACAACTCATAAGCGCAGATATTTTTGGCATAACGGAGGGTAGCAAAGACAAAAAAAGAAGAGCGGTCGTTTTCACGCAAAGCTCGCGGCTGGCTAAACACACACCGACGGACAGACAGACGCGAACAGACAGACAGACTGCATGGCGAGAGATCACGCATTCCTGTAGGAATTAGAGATACGTAGAGGCTAGAGAACAGCAAAGTCGGAGAGGCGCAGAGATGCCCCCAGTCTGATAAGGTCCCCAATAGCCCTTCCTCGTCTATTTTCCAGGCGTCCCCCCGTTTTTTGGGGGGTTGTTGCTCTCTCTCTCTCTCTCTCTCTCTCTCTCTCTCTCTCTCGCTCTCTCTCTCGCTCCACCCTCTCGCCCGCCGATTCGTTCGCAGCCATGCACGCGACGCACTTTTTCTTGGCGTCGCGTCGAAGTGCAGTTCTTTTTGGCAGGCTGGGGGCTTTCGACATCTTTTGAAATAGAGAGAGGGGGAGAGAGCAAGAGAGAGAGAGAGAGAGAGAGAGAGAGCGAGAGAGAGAGAGGCGAACCGTTCTCCGATCAGCTGAATCGTAATGCCCCACGCCATACTCAATCATCTTGAGTGCTGAACCCATTGCCAAAAATAGCGATAGCCGAAAAATATTGGAAACGATTACGACATATAAATATATTTAAATGGACCCTAAAGTTCCGTGATTCGGAAAAACTGTTTTAAAGGGACTAGGAAGGCAAGAATCTACGGATTAATTTAGCCAAAGTGCTTGAAAGTTGGCTTTCGACCAATTCTGAGTAACTTTAAAGCGCAGCTTCATAACTTGCAAAAAAGTCCTGTTTTCGTTTCTTCAAATATGACAAAATTACTACAAAAATACTACAAAAATGATCTAAATTTCGTTCGGGAAAAATCAAGTATGATATGGACCGCAGCCTTCCAAGTTCCATTAAAGCCGGAATTCAAAAGGGGAATTTTGGATTAATTTTGGATGCAAGTTAACCTTAGAGACCCCGCCGGCCAGGCCAGCAGGGACCATTTGGGAATGGTTGGCAGGCTAGCAGGTATTATTTGCGCTCTTTTTGGACTCTAGTCAAAACCATGTCCGTAATTTACAAAACAAACCTAAAAATTTAAGCGCAAACTTTCAAAAATTTTTGAAAAAATTCTTAAGTTTCAGCCAACGATTCCGACTGATTCCGCAATCTGCCTCTTGACGAGTAGCGGATTAGGAAGGTTTTGAAGGGGTTGTGAAAGACACCTCTACTCGCTCCCACCCCCAAACTTCGCAAGACCCGGCGAATCCTAGGCGGGGCCAGCAGCCAAAGGGGAAGCCGGCGCCTTTTCCCCCGTTTTGCTCACTATGCACACACAAAATTTCGTGGTTGCGAAAGGTCAGAAAACGAACCAACGAACAGTAGATGAACAACAGGTATTTTGAAATTTACAACATTTTTTAGGCTTTCTAGGAAATAAAAAATGTTCAATTTTTTAGGTGGACTGTAAGTATCATTAATGCGCCAATTAATACCCAAAAAAAAACATAAAAACAGTTTGGAAGAACCAAAAAGCAAATTTTTCGGATGCAACCACTTCAACAAGGTATCATCAACGTGCCAAGAAACATGAACACCAATATGCGATTCTTTATTCATATAATTTAAAGCTTGGACACGCTGCCGTTGCTCCGAATGAGCGTCTCCTGGCACACCGACATGATCAGCTGGCCGTCGGCGCTCCAGAGACGGCCGGTCGTGAATCCGCGGGAACCCTCTGGAGAACCAGGAGTACGCTACGATACGCTCCAACTTACTCGCTTTGCTGGAAGAGCTCTCAAAAAGCATCCATTCGTCGGTTTTGACGATGGGCTGATGGAACCAGACACAATGGTCCAGGGAGAAGAGCATCGAGACTTGGAAGTCATTTCTGGAAGGATAAGTTTTGTAATTTTCTCTCTATCGCTCTTTCTGGCTCTCTCTCTCTCTCTATCGCTCACTCTCGCTCTCTCAGTCTCTCTGCCGTTCTTTTTTTTCTTTGCTTTCTTTCTTTCGTCTCTCTGTCTGGCGTAGTCCCTCGCCCCCCTAATAGGAAACAGAGGGAAAGAGCGGAGAGAGAGAGAGAGAGAGAGAGAGCGAGAGACAAAGAGAGAGAGAGAGAGAGTGAGAGAGAGAGGGAGAGAGGGAGGGAGAGATACAAAATCCACTCACACCAAATGTGGCAAATATGAAGACGTCGCCTGCACCGAGTCCGAAGTGAACGCCAACAAATACCGATGCATCCGTTCGCTAGCTTCTGACGGGACGGGATACTGTAGAAAATAACAAATGACATTTTCTGGCGTATATTTCCGTACCTGAGTTTTCATCCAAAAACAGATGGTGCCAGGGGAAGTTGACGATTCCGCAATGCCAAGATACGCACCAGGGTCGACGCAACGGATCTGAAAGCCAAAAATTAAAAATGACTATTAAAATAGCAAAATCTAGAAAATACAGGGTAATCCAGATAACCCTAATTCTAAGGTGAGCCCAAGCTAAGACAATCTTACATCAAAAAGATCCCCATCCGGATCGTAAGTTGCCTGGAACTCAAGCCGCTGCCGCTGCATCTCGGTTACAGTAACCTCTCCGGCTTTCACCTCAAAGGGTTCTGTTACAATATTCCATTAGCTCTACCTGATCAAGAGTAAAAATGGCAAAATCACGATTCGTCGGACAGTCTTCGGGGGCGGCAACTTGCGGCATTTTGGCTTCATGAATGACTGATTCGGGCTCGTTCTGGAAAACGAGTACGGTATTTCAGCCACATTTTAATGTATTTCATTTTTTTATATTTAGTTTTATTTTTTAAATTTAGTTTTATTTGCTTACCACATGGAAAGACACTTGCAGACAGTAGGCCACTTTTCCGTTCTGCACCGCCTCCACGGTACGCGTGCAGAAGGATCGACCGTCACGGAGTCGGCGTACGCGGTACTCCACCGGAATTCGGGTGTCCACTGGAAAATACGGAATTTAACGTAGGCTCAGATTGAGCCTAGACTTAACTTAAGCTTAGCTTAGGCTTAGCTTAGGCTTAGCTAGAGGATTAGCTTAGGCTTTGCTTCGGCTTTCACCTACCGTTTAGAATAAAAAACGAGTGCGTCGCGTGTGGCTTGAACTGCTCGCCGACGGTCTTCTCGGCGGCACAGAGCGCCTAGATGAGCTTGGAAAGGCATAAAATTCTAGAAAACCTGCGAAAAAATGAGGCCACCGTAAGCAGCGTGCACAGCAGCCCCGCGGACTGTCGAGAGATTAGAAGATCTAAAAATTAAAATGGCTCTAACATTCACTCTCTCTCTCTCTCTCTCTCTTTCTCCATCTCTCCCTCTCTCTTGCTCTCTCTCTTGCTCTCGCCAAGAACCTACTCAAAAACATCCGATCCCTTGTCCTTGAACGTGTAGAAGTGCTCGACCCGTTCGGCAAATTTATCGGCGTTTTCGGCCCGACTGCCGTGCTAAAACCGGGAATTACATGTCGTAATCAGTTACCGTACCTTATCATCCAGACTGTACTTTTGGCGACCCATATTGTAGTAGTTGTGGAAGGGCTTGGAGATGGATACTGAAAGGACAAAAAATAGAAAATTTCAGGCCGTAAAAACTTTGTCGTAGCCGAATTTTTCGACCTGCTAATCACTAAGAAATAACAGGCTACAAACTACATTCCTATAAAAAGGTCGGCAAACTAGTCCACAAGCTAAAAAGCCAGAGACTAAGAGCTCCAAGCCAAAATATGTACGGCGACGCAGAAACGCTACAAAAAAGCGGGGCAAAAAACCACCAACGACCATCGAAAAAGGAGCATCTATTAGACTACAAAGAACAACTTAATGCCAAACCCCAAAATAAAATTATCAGACAAGCAAAGGTTTGCTAGAGAGTGAGGCTGTGTTTAAAAGTTCGCTAGAAAAGGGCTACAAACAACACCGGGACAGGGCGTTGACTACAAACTTCAAAACTACAAGGCTCAAACTACAACTCCTTCGGGCAATGAGGGCCAATGGCAAAATCGGAAGAAAGACTTATGACTGAGGAGACAAGGGAAAATTTAAGAAAACGAAGGGTTAGAGTGCAGTTTACCCCCCCCCCCCCAGCCCTAACTTTTCAACCATACGTCCTATTAATGCGCCGAGTATCTCAAAATGTTCGCCGTGGTCGAATTACTTTACAAAAGTTGTTTTCTTACATCAAAAATTGTTAGAAAAATTTTTATAACAATTATAAGTCTGGGTTTTCTTTAGTTAATTTTTGCTGTTCCAAAGTGGGTTTTCGTATCTCGGCTATCTTTTGACGTACAGAGCTGTCAATGGTACCAAAATGTAGCTCTTTCTCTGGAGAATAAGCCTACAGTACGTTTGAGCCGAAAAAACTAGCGGAAAATAAAAATATTTGAGTTTTAGACTCCTAGTACATCGAAGCATAGCGGCTTAATCTTTTCAACTTTCAAAATCTTGTAAAAAATTTTTTAGCAATTTTTGCCGCAAGAAAACAACTTTTTTATAGTAATTCGACCACGGCGAACATTTTGAGATACTCGGCGCATTAATAGGACGTATGGCTGAAAAGTTAGGGCTGGGGGGGGGGGGTAAACTGCACTCAAGCCAAACGAAGACTACGAACCACAAGGCTACAAACTACGACTTCTTTGGGCCATTGCGGTCAATAAAATATATGAGAAAATGATCGACTACAGACTACAAGACTACAAACTACAAGACTTAAAAGAAAAGGCATAGTGAAAAATTTCTAGAAAAGTGAAAATCCATTGGAAAGAGGTTCAAAAACCACAAAAAAAAATCGAAATTCCGCGACTGAACTAAACGATATCAAACGGTTCACTGATAAGAGCTGTGTTTCCTTGATCAAGGTCTACCAGGTCTTTGAAATATTGGAAAAACGGATCGCAGAAAAATAACCGAACCGGCTGAGTGGGGGCAATTTATAGGCCGTAAGTGGGCTGATTTTGCTGAAGGCTGAGAACAAATCACAAAAAACAACAGGAAACGACTGACTACGCGTGGTGGCGAGCAGACTACGCCTGATCAGCCGCATCATGGCGGGTGGGATGAGGGAGGGAGAGGCGAGAGAGGGGGAGAGACGGCGAGAGATAGAGAGCAGCCGGATGCCCCGTCTCTGTTTGATAAGAATGATTTCGTATTCCAGGAAAAGGGATGCAAATTAGCGAACAAAGACAAATTTAACTTTGATTGGCATGATTTATAAGTTGTAACAACTCCAGTCCTCGCTAAAATACTATTCAAATGAAAACAAAAAGTCGAATGAATTAAACGGTAATTAAAATAAACCAGGGTTGAAAAGTCGCTTCGCGACTTTTCAACCCTGGCCCCGTTTGGACAAATGAAACTGTAAACTTTCCATAATTCAGCCTCGATCAAGCTGACAAAAATGAAAAGATTTTCTCCCATAGGCTTTTATAGGCTTCTTTTACTTCCGGTATATGCTAATTGTTTCCTACCAAAGAGGGTTCTCGAAAATTTTAGAAAAACTTTTTTTTTAATATCGAAAATAGCGTATTTCGATAATTCTGTTATGCGTGCAGTCATCGCAGAGCCATTACGCACCTAATGACGTATCATACGTACCCTAATATTCATCCCCTATTGAGTTATCCTCCGGACATAGAGACGGAAGTTGCATGCAAATCGACACACACACACACTACTTTTTTATATATAGTAGGATAAAGCTATTTTTACAGTATTTTCCTGTATAAAAAAATCGATTCAGCTATTTTCAAACAAAACACCAAATTATTTGAATAAAACCTTTTAAAAATCAATTTTAAAAAATCAAATTAAAAAACATAAAAGTTTTATTGATTGTATATTCCTTTACTAAACCGAAATTGTATGCTAAAGTTAATACCCCTGTGAATGGGGGAAAATCTATTTACCTGCCCTAACCGATTGGGACGTCAGCGAGCCTTTTTTCGTTGCAGCCGCAGAAAACAGCTTGCAAAGGTTACGATAGCCGGCGCGTTTCATATGTAGCTTTCCGGAAAGGCACTTTTTAGGAATGCAGGATCGAAATGGAGGAAAATAGCCCGCGGGCTCTTCTTTTCCGGGAGGCCGATATCTGAAGCGGAGATCTGTTGAGTGGTGGAATTCATGAGGAGAACACCCGGTTGACCCGAGAGAGAGAGAGAGAGAGAGAGAGAGAGAGAGAGATGATCGCTCTTTGCGGTGTGTTTCCTATGTCAACGGCTACAAACTATAATCGAGTGAATAGGGCGGACGGCCCGCGAACAGCCGGTCGATATGGGGGAGAGGGTAAATATAACAACACTGATGGCAGTAGGGATTGATAGCCGGGGGGAGGAATCGAGCGGAATCTAGGCATTAAAGGGGCTTTGAACTCTAAATATTTTCTCTCTGTCTGTCTCTCTCTCTCTCTCTCTCTCTCTGCCTCCCTCTCTCTAATTAGAGAAAAAAGTCAGAACTAAACTATACTAAAACAGGTTTACTGTACTTACGTGTCTTAATCGAATCAAAGCAGTATCACATCGGCCTGATCATCCAAAATGACCCTTCGAACACCGTAACGCTCCTCCGGACGGTGGGAAATCAGAGCCAATCAGGCATGCCAAAGATGGCTTTGGCTTAAAAAAAGATAATCGCAGCCAGTTAGGCTAAAAGAAAGAGAGAGAGGGAGAGAGAGAGAGAGAGCGAGAGAATGCGAGAGACACTAACCAATACATATCCCGGTGCTTTCAAAGCACGCAGCAGCAGCAGAACGTGATAAATCCCAATGTACAGCAATCCCGATAAGGCTTGACTCACTCTGCAACTGGCATCATTATTCCTATTTCGCTGGCCAAACACCGTTGTTAAGGTGCTAAATGGTGGACTATTTCGATCTAAAGAAATTCAGTGATGATGTCTACTCGTAAGATCGTTTATTATTTGATTAATTTTGGGTGTTTTTCAGATACAGCGGCAAAAAGATGGCCGACGGTCCCGCTGAGAACATCACTTTTGGAGGGCTGGTTTTAGCGCAGGTGATCGAAAACATGGCTTAATCGATTACGCCATGAAATCCATAGCCCTGCCAATAAAAGTCTTGCTGGCACCATCCCTTAAAAAATGGTTTTAGGCGCTTTGTGCCGCTGAAAAGACGGTTACCGAGAAATATCGGCCCCACACGGCTCATACGTATTTTGCTAGGGCTGGTAAGTAGAGAGAGTGAGTGCGAGAGCGAGGGAGAGAGATAGAGAGGGAGATAGCGAGGGAGGGAGAGAGAGGGAGAGATGGAGAGAGAGAGAGATAGAGAGAGGGAGAGATGGGAAGAAAGGCAGAGTGAGAGAGAGAGAAAGAGAGAAAGAGAGAGAGAGGGAGAGATGGAGAGAGAGTGCGAGATAGAGAGAGAGATAGCGAGGGAGAGAGAGAGGGAGAGATGGAGAGAGAGTGTTAGAGGGAGTGAGAACAAGGTCACACATCTTTTTAGTGGATTCCCGTCTTCCAATCGAATACCATATCCGGAGGCCAAAAGACGGTGGCCTGGTATGCATCCGTGACGCCGACTGTATTCAGAAGGGCCACATCGCCGCCACTTTCCACTTTGCGTTCCATTCGGTGACGGATAAGGTGGGGAAAAATGCATAAAATGGGATCATGAGACGATTTTAAAATTTTTAAGAATTTTGGCAAGATAACAGTACATTTTTGGAATTAGTGGCACATGCAAAACTTAAAAAACGTCAAAAACTCGAATTTATATGAGACGTTTTGCGCATGCTCTGGATTATAAATCTCATATTTAAAGCAAGCAAGCAAATTTCTTGTACATAAAGTTCGTGGGCTTAAGTGCAGTCCCCCCGCGGCCGGCACCCACCTACAGTATCTCGGCTCCCTGTTCATCTACAAGTGGGTAAAGTACACCAAAATATTCGTGAGAGCAAGACGAACATTTTGGTATACTTTCCCCACTTGTAGATGAACAGGGAGCCGAGATACAAAAATTTGGGTACTGGCTGGGGGGGGCGAAACGGCACTCTAACCAAGTTCCCGCTTCAGATCGACGACTCTGGAGTGTCTATCCTGGAGCCTATGCCAGACGCCCCGTCCCCGGATGATTGTATTTCTAAGAAACAGATGTCGCTCAAGATTTTGGAGGAGGTTAGGTATTTTTAGTTTTTATTCTGCCTCTATCTAGGCCAATAACGGAAACTTGACCGTGCCGAAGGGGTTGGAAGCGGCGTTGTTGAGCACGGCTCGGCATAAGCAGGAGCAATTGCTATTCCAGGTGGGTCCTATAAATTTAAAGGGGCTTATAGGTAGAAATCTATAGATTTTAGACATTTGTCAAACCCTGCCAAATGCCAGGATCTGATTCGACATTCAGGGATTTTGAAGGCCAAAAATCGCACGATTTAGTCAATTTCAAGCGTATGGGTGTATTGCTACCATGAAACTGTGGCCATTTCTTGCCTTACTGGTCCCTTTAAACGCCAAAAACCCACTCTTCTATATTCCGAATTCCAGTGGCGATCCTGTGATGCGAACGAAGTTGTCGGACTCTACGAGCCGACTGTCAACAACACGATTCGGATGTGGTCCAAGACGCTGGTCGGTTGCGAAAGAGGCAAAAATTCCTAAAGATTTTGTGCCTAATTTTAAAGAGGCACCGAACTGCCAAATCAAAGCCCTTTTGGGAGGCGTCTTTGATTTATGGCAAATTGCCAGCGGGCGCTGCGTGACGAGAGGTCCTCACTCTTTCGATTTTTGCGCGAAGTTGTTTTTGCCCGGTTTCTTTGGGAAAACACTAAATTCGCGCATTCTGAGCTCATTTTTAAAATCTTCACTCAATTTTAAATAGTTTTGATGTTTTCATCATCAAATTTGGCCCAGAAACAGCCGAGAACGGGATTTCGAGGTGACAACAGGAAATTTCATGTGCGAGCGTCCCGCGTCCCTAGGTGTACAGAGGCCTCCCACGTACAGGGCTCCCATTTTCGGGCCGTCACTCAATATTTGGTATTTCTAACCCTTTACAATATGCCTACAATAAAGCTAAAACCGTAATTATAGCCGAGCCCCAAGAAATTATCCCCAAAGGAGCACCTCTACATGCTCGGCTTTGCGATTGACGCAGCGTTTCCGATCGTTGCGATGACGCCCTATTTTTTGTGAGATTTTTCTGAGGATTGAAATACAATTTCGTTCAGGCTACAGTAAACCTCCGGCTACAGTAACCCTAAAATCCGCTCTTTTTCAGAAAAGACCGCGAATTCACCGCTTTCGGATCCCTCGACCTAACCGTCCGATACCACAAGCTGGACGTGAATGTGGACGAGTGGCATTTGATTGAGTGCAGGATGGTTCGAGCAGGTTATTCTACTTTTTTCGGTCCGAAAGTTATGCAAATTAGGCGATTTTGCGGTGGTGATGGAGGGGAGGGTGTGGAATCAAAAAGGAGAACACGTCGCTACGACTAATCAGGAGATCTTCACGAGGACGAGGAAGGCGAATCTATGATTTCCCGATTTGTGTTTTTGACGATAATAAATTTTTATTGATGTCTTTTCTATAGTACCTAAGAAGCTTTTGTGATTTTTAACGCAAGGAAAAGCGTCGCGATACGGAACGCGTCACACGCAGCTTCGCGTTGAGTGGCGAAACCGCGGATCCGTCCGACGCACGCAACGCACACGCAACGCACACGACGCACTCGTAATGCACGCGCGTCGCGGCGCGAAGTCAAAGTGAACGTCGGCGTGCTTTAAACATTGAAAATGAAGCGGTGTGTCCAAGTGCAGCGCGCAAGAATTCGATTATACATACGTCCGTAGTCGAAAAGTGCAGGTTATGAACAATTCTTACAGTATCTACAGTCGCTCTGACCTTGCCGATCCCTTTAATATGATTTCACACCGGTTTTTGCATCTCGTAGCTTCATTTTTGAACCCAGATGCCTGGTCCAAAGTTCGCCGAATTTGCAGCCTCCTCGTCCAGGCATTTTTTTTTCTACCCCCTCCAGACCTCGTCGAGCCGCTTGACGTGTAGGCGGGCCCGGTGAATTCAAGTAGTCGGCAAAACGAATTGAAGTCGGGCTGCGGGTAAGGAGGATGAAAATGGAAATCTCCAGCTGACCCCTCGGCCCCCGCCGCCGCCCACACCTATTTCCGGGGCAAAAAACGAGGGAGGGCGGCTGACTATGCGGCCAGTTGCGGAAATTCTGGACAGATTGGATTCGAGAGGAACTCTGCTTGATGGCGGCTGCCGATTTTTGACGAGATTTCGGGATACGGTTATTCGGACTATAAAGGAATTGGGAAGTGCGAGAATTTTCACTATTCTTGATTGGGTCTCCACAGCTAATAGCGGCGCTAAATGACGTTTTTGATGGCGTACGGTAGAAGTTGGCTCTTTGGGAATTTTCGGTGCACCCGACGCCAAATTAGTCCGACAGTTTTTTCAGCATTCCATTTATGCAACTTGTTTAGGGGATAATGCAATACGACACCTAGTTCGATAAATGACGATTCAGCGCATATATAATTTGCTTTTTAATTTTATGAGCGATTGAGGCAAAGGGAGAGAAAGGGAAAGAGAGAGCAAGAGAGAGAGAGAGAGAGAGAGAGAGAGAGAGAGAGAGGGGGGGGAGGGAGAGAGAGAGAGGGGAGGCAAGAGAGATGCGAGAGTCGGCCGTCGGATTTTTTTTTGCTTTTTTAGGGGCTTCCAAGTCTCTTTAAGGCGGATTTTCTCTTACTACCCAATTCCTGTAATGGATTTTACGGTTCTAAAGTATACAATATTTTTCGCGGCCCAGCCCCCTTTAAACCGAAATTTGAACAAAATCTCACAGATCTGTGATCATTCAACAAATTTCAACAGTTTCCCCTGGTCTTGACCATCGTATTCAGCCTTCAACCATGCCCAAATTGGCTACTTGAAGTGACCTGAACGGGGGGTCACGAGGCAAGGCGATTTCCCCAGGGTTTTCTACCCACGGTTTAGAGCCCCTTAAGGTTACGATGGTTGCCCGCAGAGGGTAAATAGCAGCGAAAAAGTACGGTATATTTTGGATTAGAAGGGCGTATTATACGATGCCACGCGTGGGTTGGCGTAAACATCGCAATTTATAAGGCATTCGCTGTTAGAGTTTTTGGGTGTTTGGGTTTTCGGGGTTTGGCCCGACGTCATGCGCTCTAAATTTTGGCATTTTACAACCGTTCTAGGCTCCATTTTTTTACTTATAAACGCCATACATCTTCTCTTATTTATATAAGTAATATTGGCTGAATACGAACCTCGAAAAACGGCTATTTGTTGATTTCTTGTATGGTCGAAAATGCTAGTATTTCTCTCATAACGACAAAATTTGCATACCTTGTCAAATTCCCTTTTAAATGGGTTTTTGCGGTCTCATCTAAGCCTTCTACTACTCTAAAAACCCTCCAAGCGGAAGCTGTTGGTAGTTTGGCCGCCCAAAATCCGACCGGTCTCATTCCTTTCTTACCCTTAGACCTCGTCCTCCTCACCGGAACACCCCCAATTTACTACGACTTTTCCGCCTCGCTCCAAAAGACGCTCTGCAAACTCGGCCTGACGCGTTTTTTTTGTGGCTAGAACCGGTTTCTCTTGCTGATTTTGCCAAATTTATGCAGCTTTTCACTTTAAATAGCTACAAGGTCTTTTTGGGCTCTAAAATGCCGATAGGAAAATCCCGACAGGTCAAAAAACCCGACAGATTCCGGACAGAATGCCAGTTCCTTACAAACAGCTATTTTGTATGTCGGGATTTTGACTGTCGGGATTATTGCTGTCGGCATTTTGGCTGACGGATTGTGGCGCCAAGATTTTAGCTGTCGGTATTTTGGCTGTCGGTACCTTTGCTGTCGGGATTTAGAAGTCGACGTTTTGGACTGTCGGTATTATGTCTCCAGGGGTTTTCGCTGTCGGGATTTTGGCTCGCTGCTTATAAAGTTGATACGTACAGCAGACGGATCTTTGAAGTCGGGTTTCAATCTGAATTTAACAACGAAACGTTGACTCATGAAAACACACCTACCGTAGAATGCCGAATTTCGATTCCGAGTCCACATCACGCCGTTCGCACAATAGAACCCTGGCACCTAAGCCAATCTAATCCTGCTCTCCAAATCTGTACATTGTCATAGGGGTCGAGAGTTCGTCATTTTTCTCCATCTCCCCCCGCGCCGCGCACCCAACCGTTTTTTTTTTGATATGGCGATCTCCGTTCCGCGAACTGCCCCCTGAAATCAGCATCGATTTTTGCGGGTCGCGCCCCTCAGGATCAGGGTCGGTTTTGCTGGGGATTTCTATCCATATTTCGCTCACAGTTCCTTGTTTGTGTGTTTACAGCTCTCTAGACAGTTAAAAATCGTTCAAAACTAACTTAATAGCTCTCAGATGCTTGCAAACAGGCGCTAGTTCACTAAACAAATAAACCGGTCAAAGAATCTGAATTTTTAACATTTTTTATTCTTTAAGCGCTGAAAATAAAGCCTAATTTAGTTCTATAATTTAGCAATTTTTATCTGTTCCGTCGTCTAATAATGCTTATTTGACTGTGACAAGGCCAATAAATCAGAAGGCTTGTTTTTCAACGACCAGAAAAACGAGCGCTTGCCGGCTATACCAACATTGCTTTCCCTCATAATAAGGAAACCATAGGATGCTATATCGGCCATTAAAGGATTTGTTTTCTACCGTAACAATTTTTTAAAAACGATGATTAAATGGAGGAGTTTTATTTTGTAGCCAATCAATTTTTAGAAACGATTTCTTTCTCTCACAAATCTCACAGCGAAGTCCTTGACCGGCCCATTTTTTTTTTTGTTTCTTTATTGCCGCTGCTTCGTCCGGTTGGTGGTCAATTTCCGATCGCTCCGGCTGACCACTAAAACCAGGTTTTTTGCCTATTTAATGTGTAAATAATCCTCCTTCGTTTTGTTTAGGTACATTTTAAGAATTTTCAGCATGAAAATATTGCTTCTCGTGCTCCCGACTTTATGTCAGGCTGCACTGCCGGGGACCGCTGGTTCAGGTATATTTTTGCGGGAGTTACTCAACTAAGATTTTAAAGGGATGCCGACGGCATAGTCAATCGGTTACGCGCGGAAAAGAAAATGTCTCTGCGCCTCTCCCCTGGGCGCGCTCTCTCCCCTGTTGGCTACTTGCCAATTTGTTGATGGGGGGGGGGATCGACACATGCCGTCGGCAGCCCTTTAAAGTTACTGAAAAGCAAAAATCCGTATTTAATTAATTTGCTATTGACATAGTATTTATAAAAAAACTTGTTACAGTACCCACGCACCGATTCGTCCCCCAATTCGGCGTCCACCCGCCGGGAATTAATGGCGGTCCACCGCAAACTTCTGAAGCCGAGGTATCGTTTTATTACTGTAGTTTCTATTTTTTAAACACTTTTTATATTCATACATCTTCACTATAATAATTATAAAATTAAAATTGATACTGAAGTATCTTTAATTTTCCCTCGTAATGCTCCCCTTTCAGGCCTACCTCAACAATTTCGGCTACATTACCAAGAAAGATGGCCCCGAGCCCCCGACGGCCTTTGATTTCCAGATGGGATTACTGTAGGGTTACGGTACTTTTTGAAAAACAACGATTTTAGGCGCTTCCAAATGTACCACGGACTGTACCGTAGCGGGCTGTACGACGTGGAGACGGAGGAGAAGATGTCGCTGCACAGATGCGAGAACCCCGACATGGACAATGGGGCTGCGTTGAGAGGTCTTAATTTAAAAAATTGTGGATTTAACGCGGCTCTGGCAGCACACCGATTACGGCATTTTGGGGACAGGGCAGAGACGCAGAGTTCTGTCTGCGTCTCTCCCCTGGGCGCGCTCTTTCTCTCCCTGCCGCGACGCACCCGACCGCGACGCTTCCACGAGTCGTGGAAAAAGAGGCTTGCTGCCAGACGCCCTTTAAGGTTCAAAAAGATCATAAAAGTTCAAAATTACTGCAATTTTGTAATTAAACGTAATCCGACAAAACCTCAACATTAGCCCACATGCTGCTACACCCCAAGTTCCGGAAGTGGAGGCTGCGCTTGAACCGAAAATTCATGCAGAAGTTGAACATCGGTACGGAGATGGCAAATGAGGGGATACGGTAGCCGGGGGCACCCTTCAGCGCACTGGCAACTGTCGATATTCCACAAAAAGAAGGCATGAAAATCACGACACACCTCTTTAAAAAAAACACAAATGGCACCTTCCTACCGTCTACCAAACGAGGAGCGCACCTTTTTGGTTTTGGCACTTGAAAAACATGAAAAATGGTGATATTTTAATTTTTAGATGTGAAACCGAAGGGACTGTGGAAGAAGAAGGTGCTGACGTGGAGCATTCAGGGCAATCCCGCAAATATGGACGCCAAGGAGGCGCAGTAGGTTTCAAGAAAATTCGTATGTCTCATATTCTCATTTTCTCTCTCTCTTTCTCTCTCTCTCTCTCTCACTCTCTCGTTCTGCTGAACTTTCTGACGTCGTGCGTATTTACCAAAAGCGACTACAAGGTCAAAGGAAAAATTGAACTTGACGAACTGTACTGCTGTAAGCCTGCAGCTCTCGTTCTCAGCCACTTGGACCTCACGCTCTCTCTCACTCTCTCTCTCTCTCTCTCTCTCTCTCGGCATCTACCTGACTTTGCAGCGCCGCCGTCGCCGAAGCCTTCCAAACCTGGGAGGGGGTCGCCGATTTCCGTTTCGTTCAACAGCAAGATCAGCTTGGCGGTCAGTCGGACATCCTCGTGGCGTTCGAGCCATTGCGCAACAAACAGCACCCAACTGGTAATTTCCAAAAAAAACACCATAACCCATTTGCAGTAATCTCACGATCCGGCGGGCCAGCTCCGAGCAAGATTACGCTCGATTCCACGCAACGTTGGGGCCACAAGTTTTTGGTGCCGGTGAGTTGCGCGAGACAGAGAGAGAGAGAGAGAGAGAGAGAGAGAGAGAGAGAGAATGAGAGAGCAAGAGAATGAGGGCTATTGTGTACGATTTCAGGGCGATCTCCCCCTCCTTCGTGTCGTCACCCACTCCATCGGCCATTCCCTTGGCCTCCAACATACTCCCGAGCTGGACAGCCTGATGAATCCACTATTCAAGGTACTGTCACCGTTCCTTTAGCTCGTGCTCCGAGCTCGTGCTATTTCACTTTATCTATTTTTAGAGCTACCAACTCTTCTCAAAACTCGAGCACATCCCGACCGAGGACAACGTCAGCTTGCGCAAGTTGTACGGTAAGTTCATATAGACCGGAAGTTACCATTCCTTTTTAAATATTTCTCAAAGCCAAAAACCCCCTGACTACACGAGCAACCTTTGTACCCGGAATCCCTCAAAAAATCCCATGCTTTTCCCGAGAACCCCAACCTCTAAAGTGGCTTTCCCCCCTCCCCCTCCCCACATGTGTTTCCGATTATTGCCAGGCAACCGGGGTCGCACTCCTAAAAAACAGGGCCGAGCATAGGTTCGAATTCCGGGACACAACTCCTACCACCCAGAAAATGTCGAAACTCATGCTAATTCTCGTGTTGCTAATCAATTTTGTGGTTGCCCCACCACCGGGGACAAATCCGGATGATACTCCCTTAGTTCCGGATGTTCCGGAAGCTTCTGTAGCTCCGGAAATTCCGGTTACTGAAGGGCCAGCCGGTCCGGTGGATGAGGGTAGGTTTTCATGGTGTTGGAAATTAGAATTTTGGTCCGCGCCGTGATTAGTACTTTGCCGACAAATTACTAAAATCCGGAAATTCCGGTTAGATCGCACAATGTAGTACAAAGTACAGTATTCCGGAAATTCCGGATGTGTTTAAACGGTTTCGTAACTCCGGAATTCCGGAATTCCCGGCCAACCGTAGTTGCGACTAATGAACTTTAAAGGAACCTGGTAGACACGAGCCCTTTTCCCTGTACTCTGTAAAATATGTAATCAGGCCTATCCATCCCGGTGACCTCGCAAACTCATGGAGATGATCGCAACTGCCCTCAGCATGTGGATTCGGTTACGTCAGGTAATTCTTGAGAGAGAGAGAGAAAGAGTGAGAGAGTGAGAGAGTGAGAGTGAGAAAACGAAAACGCGAATTCATTCCGACAATTTAGTGAGTGATTCGGTGTGGTACTTCTTCCGCGGCTACAACGTGTGGCAGGTCAAGAACCAGCAGTTCGTCGGCGAGCCCGTCCGCATCAAGGAGGTCGGTCTACTGTGTAGTACTGTTTTATACTATAAATACAGTTAAGGACAGTAAAGTCTGGATTTACCATAAAAAAATTTTGGAATACTTTCCGATTTTTTTTAGCTTTCCACGTTCTAAATAAAATTTTCAGCTCTTCCCCGGTGGCCCGGACTTTGTGAACGCTACCGTAACCTCGAACGGTCTGACGGTGCTCTTTGCTGACAGAAATCTTTATGGTTATGAATATGATGCTGGAAGATTTGTGTAAGCAAGCAAATCCATGCGCTAATCGCCACTTTCAGCAAGGCCCAAGGGTTCCCACGTGAACTCCACGAGCGTGTCCTCTTCTTCCCACAGGCCGCCTTCCCGCTGACGAATGGCAGTGTCGTGCTCCTATCAGTAAGTTGAATGGAATGGACGCTCGGACGAAATTGATCATCTACTAACCCAAGTTTTCAAGGGCAACGTCTTCGCCACGTACGACGTCGTCGCCAATCAGCCTCATATTCTGAACGATAAGAACCGGATGTTCCCGAATCTGCCCGAGGATGTTCGCTCCGGGATCCCGATTCACAATCAGGATTTCACGAAATACCACATGTTTGACGAGACTACGGTAAGCGAGAGAGGGAGAGAGACTGCTAGAGAGCGAGAGGAAGATAGAAAGAAAGGGGATGAACGGATGAGATAGAATAGAGAGAGAGAGAGTGAGTGAGAGAGAGAGATTAGAGAGGGAGAGAGGCCGAGAGAGAGATAAATCAGCCACGCGTATCATTTTGCACTAATTTACACTTCCAGAAAAAGCCAAACAAACTCTTTATTTCAGGTCTCCCAATGGGACAGCATCACGCACGAGTCGACCAGCGCCCAGCCGCTGAACGAGTTCTTCAAGTGCGCCTCCCAGTCTGCGACCACCTCGAAGACGCGCCGCTTCTAAGAACATCTACCATTTCTCCGTTTGATTTGATTTTGTCTGCACCCCCGCTAGTATCTACCGCTATGCCTTAACCCCCTTGTATCCAGCAAAATCGAGTCCGCTTTTTGAATAAATATTGGCTAGAAAGGCCCCAATTTTACAAGAAAAACGACATTAATAAGTTCAGGTTCATTCAACTTTAGAAACAGAAAATTTTAGGGTGTTTTTAAAAGGGACTGCCAGCAAAACTCAAGAGAGATTGGACGTTTCATAAAATTTGGAAATTGCATCGTAATTCCGCAAATTTCCGTTACACAGCGTCGGAGGAGCCTTCCTCCATTAAGTTAAAAAAAGCAGAATTCGGGTTGCCACTCGACCGTTGCCAGTAGCTGGGCGGAAACCGGCTGACCGGAGCGGTGGTAGGGGGAAGGAAAAGCATTTATTTCTGGGCCCTAAGGAAATTTCTAGACAAGAATGATTTCGCGAACGTTGTTGCTGCTTTGTGGATTGATTATTGGTAAGTTTTGAGGATTAGAGAGAAAGAGAGAGAGCGTGAGAGAGCGAAAGAGAGAGAGAAAGAGAAAGAGAGAGAGAGAGAGAGAGAGAGAGAGAGAAAGGGAGAGAGAGGGAAAATGCTGTGGTTCTTACGTTCAAATCCGGTCCCAATTTCCCAAATTCCAGCCCTCTACGCCCAATCCATCGCCGACATCTCCGCCATGCTCAACCAGTCCACCTTGGCCAACGTCTTGGCAGCAAATGCTGAAACAACGACCGCAGCCATGGGAGATGCCGCCATCCAGCAACTTCTCGCTGAAAGTAATGCTGTGGAGGGCCAGGCGGATGGGAACTCATCTTCGACAACGACGTCAAGTTCGACGACCACAACGAGGACAACCATAACAACTTCTGAACTCTCAGTAAACGTTACGATGGTGACGACTACCCAGAATCCGGCGCTGAACTCCACGACGATGATTGCCACGACGACGCTGGCTGGTAATTCCACAGCTCATGCTCAAAACTCATCATCTACCAATGCCGAGGTGGATCAGCCGTATGAAGGATCAGAAGCGCCGAATGGGGATAGTAAGTTGAGACCGAGATTTTAGTCTCTATCTCTATCTCTTTTTCTCTCCCCCTCTCTCTCTCTCTCTCTCTCTCTCTCTCGCTTCCAAAAACTCGTTCCAGACGTCGAAGCCACCACCAAAGGCGGCTCCCTCTTCGACAAAATCAGTGTCCCCGACGTCTCGCTCTCCAGCTTGAACTTCTTCAAGGTGCTGCCGACCCGGTTGCAGGTCACGTACGCCGTCTCGTTTGGTATGTTACTCAAAGAGGGCAGGCTAGCAGGGATTCTTTGGAAAAATCTATTCACGATTTGCCGCTTCCTTTAAACCCGATTTCATACGTTTTAGGTGTCTCCCTGCTTCTCCTCACAATATTCGGCTGTTGCTCCGGGGTGTTCACAGCCATCGGCAAGAAAAACAAGCGCAAGGAGGAGATCAGCCACGCTTAATCGGGGGAATTCAATGAGTTCTGGGAATTCTTTGGATTGTTGGGAATAAACGGGGGTTAAGTGATTGTTAATTGTTAAATTTACCGTTTTATATTTATTAATATACAAAAATACACATAAACTTGTCGAAAAAGATCTCGTTTTTATTGCCCGGCTTTCTCCAACCATTTGCTGACGGTATTCCGGCGTTCCTCAACATCGTAGTGGTTTCTAAAAGTGAATTTGAAAGCGTTCAGCTTTTATTCAAGCCTAAGCATCCCTAAGCCAAGCCTAAACCAAGTCTAAGCGGCCGCCAAAATTACGCCGAGCTTAAGCTAGGCCTAAACCAAGCTTAAGGAAAGCTGAAGCCAAGCCTAAGCCAAGGCTAAGCCAAGGCTAAGCGAAGGCAAGCCAAGGCTAAGCCAAGGCTAAGCCAAGGCTAAACGAAGGCTAGCCAAGGCTAAGCCAAGGCTAAGCTAATCGGTGCGATGAAGCCCAATGAAGCCTAATGAAGCGAAGCCAGCTTCCACGCGCACCTTTGCATTTTCGGCTGATCGCCAGGCTGTGGCGAAACGGCTTCATCTCCCGTCAATGAACGATAGGCACCAATTGACTCCATGTCCGAGTCCATACTAGAAACAGAGGATTAAACGGCATAAAGTGTTAAACCTATGCTTTTCACCGGCTAGGTTTAGACACAAAAAGTAATAAAATTGTGGAAATCTCTCTCTATCTCCATATCTCTCTCACTATCTCTCGCTCACCCTCTAGCGCTCTGGCTCTCTCTCTCTCTCTTTCTTTCTCGATCACTCTCTCTCTATCTATCTCGCTCTCTCTCTCTCCGTCTCTCTCGCTCTTTCTCTCATCTTCTTACCTAGGCATTCGCATCACATTGTCTTGCTGGTAGGTGCGAAATAGTTTTTTATCCACAACTTGATGACCGTTTGCCTAAAAAAACGGTTTGAGCCCCCTATTAAATATACAAATCTATATAAACAACACAATGCAAAACCATAATAATACAATAAAAGTATTTACAAAAACTAATAGCTTCTTTACATACCCGAAAAACATCACTAGCTGACCGAGTCTTGCCGATATCACCCAGGAATTTCTTCTGATGTGGCCGCTGGTGCTTCACCTTCGGTGGCTGGCCGATACCGTCGAATTCGACTAAAGCAATTCATTTTATTTAGCTCGGAGTGTTTGAATATTTTTTTGTTTTTTTAAAGTCTTAGAAGCATTGAAATCGACCCTTCAAATCAGCAGGTTTCTCTAGCTAGCTAGGTTTAACACGGTTTTAATATTGATTCGAGTCTGGTTGTCGAGACCTAGTAGACGGTAGGGGTAGATTTTTACCCTTATCAGTCCCTTTATGTTGTATAATATTAGCTTACCCTTGCCCAGCTCTGAGGAATTGCTGGAGTTCGACTTGGGGGTGCTGGCGGAGGTGCTCTGGAAATAGGAGAATTAGCTCGATCCCATACTCTCTTTCTCTCTCTCTCTCTCTCTCTCTCTCTCTCTCTCTGGCTTTCGCTCTCTCACCTGTCCACTCGGTCGTCCAGCCAAGTTACAGTTTTTCAACTTCCGGCTGAGAAGGTCAAAATCCGAGTTGCTTTTCGTCGGCATCCCACCAATAAAACCTGAAAAAATAGAATTTCGATCGATCCACGAGAGACCCGCTAAAAAAAAACTTTTTTTAATGAATCCTAAAAAACAACTGGGTTACGTTAAGCCAAAGGTACCAAAAAATGAGGCTCAAAATCACTAGCTGACCGCTTATAAAGCCAAAATCACCCGGAAATTGGTGGAAATGCGCAAAACTAGGAGACAACTCCTCCAACTTGGATCGGAAATTGTTTTCGCCGAGTTTTTGAGTGCCCGCCCACCAAATGCGACACTCCTCCGCATTCGGAATCACACCGCCTGAACGCCTTGAAAAAGTGGGGGGCGTGGAAGCCCGGCAAGTCGAGAAATTTGGTCTGGCTTCGCCCCGCCCGGGGGACGGCTGAAAAGGGCAAGAAAAAGAAATAAGTAAAAAACTAGAATTTTAAGGGTTGAAGGAGGTCTAACGATCGATATAAAATTTAAAAATTTTCATTTAAAGAATTTTTTGGGAGTTTTTGGCTAGTTTAGGTCTTCCAGACACTTTTATTACAGTAAATTTTACTAAAAAAAATTTCTGGTTTTCCCGACAAGGCGAAAATACCTTTTCTAACCATTTTTCTTCCATGGTTTTGACGGAATTTCAAAGATTTTATAGTTTTCCGACTCAATTTTACTTATTTCAGGGATACCATTAAAAATACCTTGAATTTGCGCTCAAAATAGTCATATATCTCTAACCTTTCATCGGCGAATCCAACAAGACTTCACGGGCCTTGGCGTTGAAGCCCCGGTGGGGGGCGATCACTTGTCGGCCAAGGTCTTCGTATGACATTTCTGGAAATAGGTAGAGCATTGAATGGAAGATTTAGGTTGTTTGTGAGAAAGGACGTTTATGTCTGCTGGAAAGTACATCACAATACAAACAACGGTTGAGGTGAGCCTAATTACGGGAGAGGATGAGAAGCCCCCTGGGGAAGCTGTTTGTTTGCCCTTATTAGTTATGGATTGTTTTTGAAAATGGAAGGGAAGAGTGAGCTAGAGAGCGAGAGAGCGAGAAAGAGAGCGGGAGAGATAGATAAAAAGCGTGAGAACAATAGAAGGCGAGAGAGCGAGAGTACGAAAGAAAAACGATCGGTGAGCTAGAGAAAGCGAGAGTCAGCAGGAGAGCTAGAGCGAGAGACAGCGAGAGTAAGAGCGAGAGAGAGAGAGAGAGAGAGAGAGAGAGAGAGAGAGAGAGAGAGAGAGAGAGAGCGCGCGGGAGAGAGTACCATCGATTTAAAACCAGAAAATCAAAAACTTCCTCAATAACCCTGAAAATCCCGACAAGTGGTATTGTGAAGATCCAGAGCCGATTTCTCCCCTATTACGTGGCCAGCCCTGGGGCGCCGGATTAACCGGGATGAATCCTGACGCCTGCCTGGTTGCGGGTACCGCGTGAATGCCCCACACCAAAATATCCTTTTTCTTTTTAGCCAGCCCATCTCGGTGGATACAATGGAAGAAAGGCGGGAGGGAGGGGGCAGAATATTCCGCCAGACGCCTATGACCACCCAACACATCCAATTTCCACTGGATACTGCTGATGAAAGGTGGAAGAGCAAATGTGGAAAAGCGGGTGAAAAAGGGAAACGATTTGAAATACGTGTCGTTATTTCATTAATAGTGTCGGATCGATCGGCTCATTGCGGAGCCAAATTTTATAAGGAATTTGCATGTGAGAGAGAGAGGGAAAGAGAGAGAAAGAGAGAGAAAGAGAGAGAAAGAGAGGGTGAGAAAGGAGAGAGAAGAGAGAGAGAGAGAGAGAGCGAGAGAAAGAGACAGAGAGAGAGAGAGAGAGAGAGAGCGCGAGAGAGCGCGGCAGAATGCCAGGAAAGTCGGAGAGCCCGTTAAATCGAAGAAGTAGGATACGAAACGCAACAGCAACCCGTTCGGCACGTCCAGAAGTGGTAGATGATCTCACGCTTATCGTAAATGGGCAAAGAATGCCATGAACATATGCTAAAAAATTCATTTATGTAAGTCAATTCCTGAAACATACAAATAACGCTCATTATCAAATCCCGAAGGTATAATAAACTTCAACTTTTCAAACGTAACAACACGCAAAAAATAAGGGGTCCTACCACGCGCCGGAGGCATGCCGATTTTGTTTGCGACGTTATGTGAAGGTAGGGGGTTATTAGTTTGAATCGTGGCTGTATATAATCAAACCGTCATATGAGGGATGGGTGCTAATTGAAGGGGTTGTTTTCACCGGGTTTTCACGCACGGGAGATGGGTGCCAAGGGGGGAAGGGACTTCTAATTGGGGGCCTTCCATCAGACCTTCAATAGCTTCCATATTCTGACGGGGAATATTGGGTATAGGCGATTCGATATTTGGCTTTCAGGAAATATGGGATTAGAGGAATGGGATGTGTATTGTGGTCTGTAGTTTTCCGAATGAAATGAGCTAGGGAGAGCAAGAGTTAATGAGAATGAGCGAGTGAGAGGGGAGAATGACAGGGGGAGAGTGACAGAAAGACAGAGAGAGGGAGAGAGAGAAAGAGTTTCACTCGTTGACACTTAAATCTCGTATGAAAAATTACAAAAAATTAACAATTTTTTGAACGTATTTATTTTTCAAAGTATCTTTCCAACTGCCTGGCAATCAAAAACTGCAAAAAATTATCAAAAATATATTTTATATTATTAACAGAAATATTCGAAGAAATGAAAATAGCTTGCCCCCCGATAACAGCCCAGTACCAGAAACCATATTTTCATGTTTTGATTCTCTTTTTGTCTTCGTTTTGTTATTGCGACTACAAGCTACATAATTCGCTTCAACCGGCTTTTAAAAAGCTATTTTCAGGTCCATACAATATAAATTAGGAGCCCCATCTATTCCAAAAAACGTACAGTGGAGTGGATTTTCGCAATGAAGCACGCAGAACAGCCAAAAATACCCCAAAACGGACAAATAAGCGCTCACGCAAACGGGTGAGTCGATCCGGATTAGGAGTCCAAAAATAGAAGCTGTATATTGGAAAAGCCGGAGGAAACGGATCAGGGCTGTCGACAGGAATAGAACGGAGCCGCAGGTAGAAGAAGAAGAAAGGGTCGATGTTGCGTAGACGGGGAGGGGCGCTTGAGGAAACCGGCAATTAGGGAGCATTTTCTTCAAAAAAGCGGCAGAACGTAGGGAAAAAGAGATAGAATGCACTCGTGCTGACTAGAAGAAATTATCTGGGGGTAGCCGTGGCAATTTTGGCAATTGGGGGAATTTCCCAGAAGGAGGGCTAAAGGGGTTTGCAAGTCTGGTAAGGGTGATAGATAGAGATGAGGGAGAGAAAACGAGAGAGAGAGAGAGAGAGAGAGAGAGAGAGAGAAAGAGAGAAAGAGAGAGCGAGAAAGAGAGAAAGAGAGAAAGAGAGAGCGAGAGAGAGAGAGAGAGAGAGAGAGAGAGCGTGTCAGGTTTTCCGTTTCACACGTCTTAACAAGGTCATTTATTCCGCAAAAATACAGAAATCGGGTTGATCTGGCTTTATTGTTTGTTTGCTGGTTTCATCAGCTTCACTTTCGGCCTGGAGCGGCAGTCGTCGTGGCGTTGCTGATCCCCGCCAGGAAGAAGTTCATGTTGGCGACCAGCTTGGCTCGGGAGGCCGTTGTGTTGGCTAGCTTCTGGAGCACGCCATTCGCAGCGGTGATCACCTCCTGTTGCGTGGCCGTGTCGTTGGTGAACTGGAAATGGGAGCGGAAATTGGTGTGTGCCCGAAATTAGGGTTACGCAAGGCTTTGCACCCAACTTTTTTGTGGTTTTTGAGCATTTTTGAAAACACCACGAAACCAAAGAGTCTGGAATTTGGCGAAAAAAATGGCAAATCTATCTGAGAGTACGGTAGTACAATTAAAAACACTTTCAAAATTACTTAAAATTTTTAATATTTTTGGTACCATAGTCTTGACATAATCGTAGAGGTCAGAGAATGCGCGGGCCACATCGCAGTTGTTCCCCTGGAGACTGTCGCTGAAGTGGGCGCGGACCTAAAATCATTTTTGGTTTTTTTTAATTTTGCCATTTAGAAACCGCTGTAAACGATATTACAAAATGCATTAAGTACGGCTTCCTTGCAGGAATATCTTGATAATGACGGATTTCCCTAACTGGCGTGCAACTCTCAAATATGGGAATCCGAAGGCTACGCGATCCAAAAGACAGCGAAAAACGCAACCTAATTGCAGTTTCGCTCATACCATCTTTATGATTCTATTAGTGTGCTTTGATGTCCTTTTCAACGCATAGTTTAGATCGATTTTCAGTGAAACGTTATCAAACTCTCATAGCAACTCTCGACGCCAGCATTAAGGGCACGTTCAGGGACTTGTTTTTGGAAAAAAGCACAGATGTTTGCCGCGACCGAGGGTCGAACCCGGGTCCTCCGCTCGGGTGGCGCGGATGCATACCAGTCAGCCACAGCTGCAACCTGGCGAGGGGATGAGGGGCGCCCCACGCCGCAAAGGAGGGGAAAGGCCTGTCACAGCACGGGCAGGCAGTGCGCGCGGTCCCTACGTCCATAGGGTGTACACGTTGGGACGAGTACACGGCCCCTCCCTGAACGTGCGCTTTAATGTTTAACTTGGCGGCGTTAGCTCTTAGTGCGCAGTTCCCAAGTTCCCAGCTCCCACCTGCTTCAGCTGCTTCTTCGCCAGAAATGGCTTGACAGACTGCAGAAAAGCACCGTATGTCTTCCCGACAAATTGTATCTAAAACGAGGAAATTACTGTAGAAAAGCCAGCTTTTAGACCCAACCTTTGTCTGGAAAGTCGCCAGCATGGGCTTGATCCGGGCCTGGAGGGTGTCATTGAGTGTTGCCACGTAGTTCTGGACTTTTTGTCGGCTTTTTGCGCCATTGAAGGCGGTGGAGAGCTGTAAAAATACCCAGGTAAGTTTATTAATAAAATTGGTTTGATTTGAAAGATATTTTTGATGAAATATCGAGATTTTTTAAGGAAAAACCGTGACACGTAAAATACGCTAAAAATAGGCAGCTTTTCAGCTCCTTTAAAACTTACCGCAGCCACCTGGGCCTCATCGAGCACCGAGCCGAAGTAACGTTGAACGCATACTTCTTCGACAGCTAGTGCTGTAGTAGAGACCAAGGTGATTACCGTAAGGAACGTTCGAAATTTCATGGTTTCTAAAATTAGAGGAAGATTTTGTCGCAGATTGTGCATTTTTTGTCGAACAATATCGAAAAACATCGAGAAAAAAGAGAGAAGAGAGAAATAAGCGCAAAAGTTTGAAGTATTTGTCTTGCAAACGTCGCTAAAAACTGATGATCCACGCGAAGATAGGGAATAAATCAAATTTGAAAACCATAAAAACTGGTTAATCGATCGAACATCCGGTTTTCGAGGCGCAGGGACCAGCTGAAAATCGGTGCCGCTGGTTCGGGGCTTTTCCCGCTGCCGTAATTGCTGGTATTGGAACGGTCGGGTCGGGAGGGACCGGCCGTTTTTTGGATCGTTTCGGAAGTGGTTGAGTGTGTGTATTGGCAAATGATTGAGTCATCTTACAGCTATGAAATACCGAAATATTTGGAAATTTACTAGAGAAAATGATGATGACAGATCCTCAATGTGGGTGACGTTTTAAAGCCATTTATCCTGAAGGACAAGATATGAAGCAAATGTGAAAGACAAATACCGGTGAGACCAAATCAGGGGTATGGTAATGAGGGGGTAGCAGCGGCTGAAATACCGAAAAATAAGATAAAACACCTGGCGGGCGGGAATTAGGGGTCGGCAGATTCCACCTGCGAGAGGGAGAGAGAGAGAGAGAGAGCGAGAGAACTAGAGAGAGAAAAAGCCTAAATTTGAGCAAACAAACGCAAAACTAGAAATCTATTGAACGTAAATTTCCTTTATCAACGTCCGCTGCTTCCAGATGACGAACAACAGCCCGGAGATGAGGAGCAGCAAGACGAACACGACGATACTTACCGACAGCCAGACGCGGCCTGAAAAATGGGTATAAAAAATTTATGACATTTTTTTTGGAGCCGGCAAGCTAGCAGAGAATCTTTAGGAAGCATGTGGCTTATAGACTCAGCGCAAAGAAAAATGAAGAAAGAATTTGAGCAATTTTGAATCATGTTTTCAAAGATAGCAAGCTGGCAGAGATTCTGTGGCATTTTTAAAGCTGAAAAAATCAATACTTACTTGTTCTGATACAAGCAAAGTTGACGCCATTTTCCGCAGAGCTCCTATCCACATCTGAAAAGATCAATGAAATTCAAATCGTTGTAAAAATATACCTTTTGAATGTTCTCCAACGGGTTCCTCATCTTCTAGACCGAAAACGACTAGACTCGTTTGCGGTAGATCGAAATCGGCGACGACGTCTTTTTCTGAAGAATTTTACAGGGTTACAGAAATGGTAGGTTCTTGATCTCAGATTTGGCTTGCCAAGCCCTTGAAAAACTCTTTAAATTAGTATAAAATTCAGGCGTCGGATGGGATTCGCTAGTCAAATTTTCTGAACCGGTTTCCCAGTCACTTACTCTGGCGCTTCGCCTTCGCACTAAATGGTGCTCCCTCGGGCTCGAAAATGTCCTGAAAACAGAGAGTATGTAGACAAAATCATTAAGAAACGATAAATCGCTTTTAAAAGCTACAAACTAAAAAAAATTGCACATCCAAACATGCACATGCCTGCGTGGAATTGAGCCTGGGGCGATGGCGACCGGAGATCTCTTCTGGAGTAGCTGGGGAGACGCCGGGTGGTGAAGCATCGACGTGGAGCTGATAGTTGAAAGGAACGGTAACATGGCAGGCAAAATGACGGATGCATTAATGCGATAATTAAGTAAGATCATACCACGTGGCTGGAGTTTCTAAATACTACTTGATCATGGTCATGCTCGAGGCATCCACGCCTTTCTTCTCTCCCTCGCTCCCCTCTCTCTCTCTCTCTCTCTCTCTCTCTCTCCTCAAAAAGCCGCATTGATGGACCGGTAGCAAAGCCTAGTATCCTAATAATAGCATGCAAGCTTAAGAACCACGAGAATTCAAGTCCTACGCCAGCCTTGGTACCTTTTGACCTCGGAAGTAAGGCGACTCGTGGGAGGGTTGGTCTAAAAAAATCCCAAAGATTCAAATTCTCGTATGGGCCCACCTTTCCCCGTCATTGCCGGCGGGATCGGATAGCTTTCGGAGGAATCCTGCGGATCTGGCGATTTCGTAGTGTAGCCAGATTCATGATGTTGGTCCGAGACGTCGAGGGCTGAAAAATGAGATTGTCTCGCGCATTGATACTAGAGTTAGAGTACCTTTATAAATTCCTTAAGCAGCTGTTATTTTGAAAAACTTTTTATAACCCTTACAAGCATCAGAATCCACGTCATTTGGTCGTTGGGTGTAGCCGCTTTGGTGTTCGTATGGCGAGCCTAGAAACGGTAATTTACAAGGGAAACCTTCAGCCTATACCTTGTCCTAGCTCATCCAGATTCTCGGCTTCAGTAGCCGAAGCCGGAACCGCGATCTGGTCACCGTCACTGTCAGGATAGGACGCTGTGCACTCAGGCTGCTAAACAAACAAAAAAATTATAGAAACAGAGAGAGAGAGAGAGAGAGAGAGAAGCAAGAGAACGTCCGGTATTCTCGAAACCCTGACCGACACCGAGCACCCATACTGTCGATCCTTGAGCGTCAGCTGTATTTGGCAGTTGAAGTACAGCCCGGACTTGTCGGCAAATTTGAAGGCAAGGGCCTAAAGATAGGGTACCACAAACTGCAAGGACCAAATTACCTCCTGTCCGGCGCTGAGGTCATCGATGTAGTCAAGATTGTGGAGTAGGCTTTCGTCGACTTGGCAACTGAACAAAAACGTTCGAAATATCTTGAAGACGCACCCATTCTCATCAAGGACACTAAAGGGACTTCCGCCCTGGCCGTCGACTACCTGAAAACGAGAGATAAAAGAGATAGAGAGAGAGAGAGAGAGATAGAGTGAGAAAATAAACTTACCGTACACGAATGTACCCTCATACAGTACACATCGGCCAGTGGCGAGCTACAGGTCCACTTGTGATAAACGGTCTCTCCGATCCGAGCATACTGTGCAACTTTCCCGGTGGGACCACCGCTAAGGATTTCGTACCTTAAAATTAAGGGATTTTGTGGGTTGAAATAAAGAGGGGCATTTATATGGAAGCTAACCTGCACGTCGGCATCACAATTTGATTCTCGAGTAGTTGCGTCGTTAAGGCACTATATAGACTTTTATTAAAATTCAAATTCCTTTCCGTACCTGACGTCCAATTGTTGCCGGACCGTTTTGCTGGTTTCCATGTAAAAACACGAGATACGGTATGCTCTGTCGACTTTGGTGATGAAAATCTGAAAATGGGATTACTGTAGAAAAGGAAAAGCGATCGCTACCGTATGAAAAGAGACGATTACGGTGGCGGCAATGGTGACACCGTTGATCTAAAAACTTAGAGTATCTAGCTTTCTCACTCCTTCTCTCTGTTTCTCTCTCTCTCTCACCCTCTTTCTCTGTCTCTTTCTCTCTCTCTCTCTACCTGTCTCTCTCTCCTGATCCCACATTGATCGAAGGCTATCCCAAACTTCTGATCGACAGCCTGATCACCCGGTTTCACGCAATTTTGGTCCGAGACGAAGCCCTAAACTTCATATTAAGTTTCTTTAGGCTATCAGCCTCACCTTCACAAAAATCTTGCCCCCAAATGGACCCTGGGTCCTGAAGCGAAGCGCAATTTCATCGGTATCACATATGACTTCAGGTTGGCCTGAAAAAGATGAGAATACGGTGTTGGACAGCGATTTTGGTGATCTAATTTTCGCTTGACGAGCTTAAGCACTTAAGTTGCTTTATTCGCTAAATTATAACTCTTAGAGCTAAATTATGACTTCAAAATTTCGATAAATCCGGTTCGTGCAAATTATCAAATGAATTTTCGCTTTGAGCATTCCTTTAAAACGCTAAAACTCGACCATACGGTAACTTACTAACGTCAGATTTTACGGTCCCATGACACCCCAAATTCCCAACTTCCAGGCTCTAAAACCCCTAGCTTTCCACCCTACACCTCCAATGACCCCGTGAACCGTTGTGTATTGGCATAAATTGTCGGGCCATTTTTTCACCACCTCCACCCTGCCGTCGCTCCCCATTCTTCCATATGACACCTATGGACAGGGACGGGGCACAGAAGACTGGAATAAGGGCTCCATATTCTTCCTTCCCCCCCCCCCCCTTTTTTGCCCCGGAATACAAAAAGGCACGCGCGGGCGCCGCTCCCGAACTTCTCATTTTGTGCACACGCTTGAATTAGCATGTCTATGTGCCAAAAGGTCGGTGACCATTTTTGGAGGAGCCAAAAATCTTGGTGTAGGTAGTCTGGGGGAGGAGAAATGGTCTTTAAAGGGGTTGGGAGGGTATGACCATGGTTTCGCCTAGATTTCTTCGACCGAACGCATGATCCGGGTTTCATTGCGTAATGGATTACAGATGAAAAGGATCTATAGCCAAAAATTTCATGGTTACAACTTGCTAGCCCCTTTAAAAGTGTCAGGCTGGCTAACAACGCGTCACCAGTAACTTCAAACTGACTAGCAGGTACGAGAATTGCCCTGTTCCGCGCACTAGGTCTCGACAACACGCTCGAGTCAAAAACAGGTGGATTTTCGCTGAAAAAGGAGTTTTTAGGCCCTTTTAAAACCTCCCTTAAAACCCACCGGACAGATGGGGTGGATTTTACGCTTTCTCGTCTACTTTAAAGGAATCATGAAATGCTAAAAACCTATATTCGGGTGATTTGGTCCATCGTTAATGCATTTATTTTCGAAAACTCGATAAATTTCCGAAAAAACGTTGCATCCCTAAAAGTTGCCATCCCTGCCTGCCCTGCCTAAAATGTGACCTTTCACTAGCGGTCCTCCCGTTTCTTTGGGTTGTAAAATGCAAATTGAGCCTGGGGGGGGAGACAGAAAAAAACGGGTGTGGTAAACGCCTTCAGAAACTTTCGATGGCAATTCCGAGTGGATACCCATCGCGGTACGCATTGTAACTCACCAATGACGGAATTTTCCAGCAGGTACGCGTGGCAGTAGGTAAACTAAAATGATTCGATTCTGTATCAAAAAAGCTAACGTACCAATAATAAAAATAGGTATATTCTTATTCGCATCGTTTCCAGGGCCGGAAAATTGTTGGGAAAATGGCACTTTCTGTGGGTTACGGTAGCCTGAAATGACTTCACATGGTAGGCACGAAAAATCGGCAACAATTAAAATGATTTGAAGTTTAATGCAGCAAAAGAATACAAATAAAAATCTCAAGAAAAATCTAAATTTTCTGAGTAGCAAAAAATTAAAAATAGATTTGTCGGAAAAAATAGAATTTTCTAGGGTTGCGGTAATCCGAAAAAAGGCAAAAATGACAAAACAGCTCATTGGAATACCATCTCCTAAAGGTTAAAAAATCACTGGCCTTTGAAAATCGAAATTTTTGAGGTTACGGTTGCGAAAAATGACATTTATCAAGTGGGTTTGTAAAGATTTCAAAAAATAAAGGGGTGCGGGAGGCTACTGTAGCTCAAGAAAAAAGTCAATATCCCGAAAAAACACGATTTATAAAATCACCAAAAAATAGTTTTCAAAATCGCCACCGACTTCGACCAGAAATTCCGCACCAGGCCAAAGAACGAAAAAGTTGCCATCGCCCTTCCGTAATTTCAGAGCCGGATATACTCTATGAAAAGGCGAGAAGCCAGAGACTGTCCGCTAATCCGGTCTACACAGCCATGGCAGGCCCGCTGTGCGGAAAGTGCCCGCACGGGAAAGATCCCGCTAGATGGTCTTATAGGGAGGGAGAAGCGGGTAAGGGCATCAAGCGGGGAGAAGCCCAACCAGTTCCCCCCCCCCCTCCTCTCACCTTCTTACCCTCAAACAACCACCCGGAAAGCTGGCACCGAATTTTCACCACCACCGGCAAAAAAAATGGAAGTCGCCTGGGGCGTGGAACGGATTTATGGTAAAGGGATTTTGAGGCTGGGTGGGGTTTTTTAAAGGGGATAGTGACAGCAATATGCGAACCGGCTGCGGGTGAAACCGATTTATGGTAAAGAAAATTTCGGGTCTGCCCTGGCGTTTTAAAGGGATAATGACAGACGGTAACGGAATATGGGGATAAGAGCTTTTTTTAATCTTCTACTATAATAATTTTACGAAACACCCAAACTGATCAAAACATTATGAAAAAGTTTTTGTTTAAAATATTAAATTTAAGTTTGAAAGGTAAAACGAGTGGGGAACCGCATTTGCACGATTTTGGGTATAGTGAGCCAGGTCGCGCGCGTTTCGGCGAGGGGGAGGGAGCGGAAGGGGGTGACCCGAAGTCCAGCCGCTTGTAGCGCCGCAGCGACGGTTTTGGCGCTTACGCGTCCCTTTAAAGATGCTTATTAATCATTCAAGGATTTAACACCAAAATGGCCCCATGCCAAAGTTCAACCACAAGAAACCGTCTCAAAAAGGCGGCACTAGAACTAGCCCGGACTCACCTTGCGGCACAATAGCTAGGTAAACGGAGGTGGGGGTGGATCTCGGGGGGTTACTGGTGGTGGAAAGTGGCAGTTCGATGCGGGGGTTCAATGAAAAAGGTGGCGCCGGCTTTGAAAACCAGCCGACTTATGCACCGCATAATTCCGTTCCGCTATTAGTGCGCCAAACTTGAACTTTAAACCAACGTTGAAAATAACCTGAACGTAGAGCGCGAAAGAGAGAGGGAGTGAGAGAGAAAATGAGAGAGAGAGCGAGAGAGAGAGAGCTAGAGAGCAAAAGACTGTGAGCGAGATCGGGTGGGAATGAGAGCGAGAGAGAGAATGAGAGCGAGCGAGAAAACGCGGGCGAGAGAGAGAGAGACAGCAGAACTAGAGAGATAGAGAACAAGTGGGAGATACTAGATCAGACCAAAAAATTCCATTTTCATGATTTCAAACATTTTCAAAAAAGTTAACAACAACAAAAATTACATTTTTTTCAGCAAGAAAGCAAGGAACAACAATACCCAGACACCCAAAAACCCGCAGACAAAACGCCAGCAAAAAAACTCGCAAAACCAAGTAGCGTCTCGACTGTCGAAAGCGAGCAGCACCCGGGGCTGAGCCGGAGAAATAATACCGTCTTACCCTTCGCTACGTCCGTCTATTCCTCTCTTCCTCTCTCGTTCTCTCTCCTTCCATGGGTGGTGCCCCACCTCCCCGTGCCCCCCGCTATTTATGCTAATGTTTTGCCATCGTTGACTGGTTCTTTTGGTGGGCGCAGGAGGAAAAGAAGAATGAATGAGGGCGAAGCCGCTGAATGGCATTTCAAAAGCGGGTTGTCGAATTGAATCGAAATCATTTAGGGGATGATGGTTACGCCCTAGTGGAGGAAGAGCTACTTTTTGTGGGTTTTAGATGGCTTAAAGGGACTTGGAAGGCAAAAAATGCGGGGTATAGCGTATTCCTGGCCAGCTTCAGAAACCGGCAGAGAATTGAGACGCAACGCAACGGCGAGGCGTTCAAGCGCGACGATTTTGTGTGTTTCAAAGGGACTTGCAACTCAGGGTGAGTGTGTCGCGGGCGCGTGGCGTGTTGCTAAAAACCTTCAATATTATACAGTGAGACAGATCAAGCAGCTTGTAAGCCAGAAACCGTCGCGTTGCGGATGTGTAGCGTATCGTATCGTAGCGTGTCGTATCGCACTCGCTGGGTTAAGGAAAAGCCCTTTTAAAGGCACTTGGAACCAAAAAAATCGATGGCTTATGCCTCGGTGCGTTAAAAGCCGAAACTACAGAGGAGAGGCGGAGTAGTGGATTAAGGCCTAGCAAGTCCCTTTAAGACTTCCTTCTCAGAGAATTTCGAAGGGCAAGCTAGCAGAGAATATTTTTCCCGGAAAAAATTACAGGATTACTACAAGGTACACCTCAAGACATTACACAATTCACCAGCCAAGTCAGAAAGTCAGAAATTGGCTATTTGCACCTTCACCTCCCTGCCAAGACTAGGCCAATTTCACGCTGCCCTGTACAATGTGGACTGGCTACCGTAGCCGGGACGTAAATAGGTGTATCGGCATGCCCATTACTAGTTAATATCCTCCTTGTGGCAGCTGGCACCTCACCCCATTCCAGTCTGCATCCTATTTCACACCCCTGCGACAGTAGTAATCTACAGTCGACATCCCCGTTACCAGGTTATTAGCAGGTATTGGCACTTTCACTACTGTAGTTCTGGCTCCAGTATGGGTTTCGAAGGCCGGGGTCTGGGCTACTGTATACTCTACCTTTTTTGAGGCATGCTACTTACTATAGATGGCAAGGTGCCGTCCGATACACTGGAGTACACAGTACACTATGGCCCAATTGGGTACTATGGTACGCTAGGCTACGCTATATACTACGATTAGATACGGTAGACTGCGGCAAAATACGCCATTTTACGGCAAAATCCGCTATGTACGTTACGATACGGTAAAATATTCATTGAATAGCACCTAGGTAAACTACGGTAGCCTACACTACAGGAAATACGTTATTACAGTTATTACGTGCGCTGGAATGCTAGGACTGACGCTCCTTGACGCTACTTTACGTTCAATTCCGGCCCGCGACGCTGCGATACGGTTGAATACAGTTTGTTACGTAAAGGTTTTGTGGCGTTACGATAACGTCAGAATAAGATAAGTTAAGATCGGAATTCTAGAAAACATCGGTTCAATCCGGATTGTTATCGACCGATAAGCTACGCAATGCTACGCTACGATACGATATCGTATGACAAATCATCTTACGCCACGATGCTATACGAGAGGCTACGCGTGAAGAGTAAGGTACGACACGCTACGGCGGCTACGGTTGGCTACGGCATGACGCGAGTGTAGAAACGGAGAAAATCGTAATAAGCAAAAATCGTGTATAATTTATTAACAGTAAAATCAGTATAATATCAAACAGCGAAGAGTTCAAATTTCTGGTCCTTGAGCTTCGGGTCCTCGGCCGATTTGCCATTTGCGTTGGGGACGCGCTCGAGGGCTGGGATCCCGGCTTCTTCGTCCTAAACAGATTTTAAAGGGCCAGTGAGGGCAAGAAGATACCTTTTTCTGCTTCAGTGCTATGGCGGCGAGTATTCGTTGGCGGATGTCTTCTTGCGTTTCGACCTGTGGCGCCTCGAGGGTTTTGGAGAGCTTCTCGCCGGAATACTAAAAAATATAGACTTTAACATTGTCTCTCACTCTCTCTCTCTATAGCACTTTCTCACTGTTTCTCTCTCCAACTCACATTATGCGCCGGCGGTGGATGAAATTTGGGTGGCCCGCCAGGAGGTGGCTAAAACTTAAAATTTTTTAGAAGAAGCGGCGCACCGGCTGGGCGGCTTTTTTCTTGCGGCACCCGTTGATCGCGAATATGAATAGGAAAACGTGAAAAACAATAATCAGCATAGAAAAGGGGAGCGTATGAAGGGAGGCATAGAAAAAGTGCGAAGATGGAAGCGGGGGTTAACTTTTAAAGGGGCCTAAGAGATGGAAATGCTGAAGGTAAGCATTTAGATCTGGAAATGCAAATTAGCTTGAAAATGGGAAAGATGAGGTGGACTAAAGTAAGCCCGTGATAGAGAAAGGAGAGAGAGAGAGAGAGGGAGAGAGGGCGAGAGAGAGGGAGAGAAAGGGCGTGAGACAGAGAGGGAGAGAGAGACAGAGAGCGAGAGAGACAAAAACACAAAATTTTCAAATCCATAGTTTCACCATTGCTGCTACCGTATTCGTCCGATTTCTTACGAAAGTTACAGAGAAAGCGAGAGAGAGAGAATGTGTGAGAGAGAGAGGGGCAGAAAGAGATATCGACGAGAGAGACGAATGAGAGAGAGAGAGAAAAAGCGAAGAGAGAGAGAGAGAACGAAAGAACGGGAATGAGCCAAGTAACGGTCACAAGTTTTTCCGCTTCTGCTTCCGCTTCTGCTGAGCTGCCATTAATGCATGAATTCCATCCGAAATACCCAAATTCCCATGATTTCCGGGGATTAAAACGTCCTCTCTGCGCCATTGTCGTGCCAAATTTCCGGCCAGCCAGGGGCACCCATCCGAACCCCCGGGGTTGGCCGTTCTTCCCATTTAGCGGGCACCAGATGCCCTCCGGAGCAGGGGCGTAGCCAGAAAAAAATTTCGGGGGGGGCCCCCAAAAAATTTTTCCAAAAAACTCAAAAGATTAACGAGAAAACAGCGCCGCAGGCAAAAATTTTTGAAAAAGAGGTTACATAGCTCTACAAATAGCCGTAAAAACGTGAAAAAATAGCGCCGCAGGCAGCAAAATTTTTGAGAAAATGAAAATCATAAGGGTCCCCCCTTATGAAATTTTCGGGCCCCGGCCGATTTCGGGGGGGGGGGGCCCGGGCCCCCGGGGCCTGTATTACGCTACGTCCCTGCTCCGGAGGATGGGGTGCTGCCCATCGACACCATTTGGGAAAGGGAAGGGGTGAAATTCAAATCCAAACGACGGCCTCTAATGCGCCACATGTGCGCGGAGTGGTGAGACGTGACGGGGCGAGTGGGTGGCGTCTGAAATTCATAAACTTTGCACTCATTGTCAGAGTTTTGCTTTCACAGAGCGGGCTTGGTTTTTGCTCTATAAAAATGCCGAGATCCGCCTCGGAATATTTTAACTATATTTGCAGAGGTGCTTTTGCATTATCGGGGGGGGGAGGGAACTTAGCAAGGGAAACCTAATTTTTTTTATTCCAGAAGTGCCATTTGGCGTAATAGTAAACATTTTAATAGTGTTTTACTAAAATTTAGCTTTGTTTAGGGTGTCACAAAACTTTAAAAAAATTGTGAAACTCAAAAATTCTGGCCTTGAAATTTTTTGCTCTGATAACCGCTCCCCCCGATAATGCAAAAGCACCATCCACAGACTGTTTTTGAGCAGAGCTAGAGAGAGGGACAGAGGGAGAGAGAGAGCGAGAGAGAGAGAGGGAGAGAGAGAGCGAGAGAGAGAGAGAGAGGGAGAGAGATTACGGCTGCTTGCCGCGATTTTCCCTCGATTTCCCCGTAGAAATCTCCATCTCCAGATTTCCTCAATAACACCGCCTCATCCTAATCATACTAATTCCAGTATGCCGCCATCCCGGGTGTTATAATGAGATGACACATGTCGCTAATAACCCCCAGCGCGGGGGGTGAAGTGTTTGGGGTAGTGGACAGTGGCTAGTGGCACTTCAAAGGGATTTCCGCGCGACACCCAAATTCCGGTGTCCTCCTATGGTTATTGAGGCACCGATATTAAGGCGCTCGCCGTTGTATTTAGCCCATTAAATACCTTGAATAAATGCGCAATACTTTTGACTGTTTTTAATGTTAGCAAGATATCAAAAAACTATGAAAAACACAAAAAATTTTGATATCTAGTTTTTCGGGAAATTTTGGAAAATGAGAAAAAAATGGTTAATTTCGTGATTTTTTTAATGTTTCAAACTTTTCTATGCGTTTAAAATGGCTTAAATAGGTTTAAAAACTTTGAATATGATCAGATTGACAACAAAAACCAATTCAATAAATGGATTTATAGCGGGACGAACCGTAGCGTATCGTACTCACCTCGATTTGCCCTACATTGACAGCCCAATAAATCATTCCTTTACAACCGCCCAACTCATTCAAGAACAGCAACAGGCAGCAGCTAGTAGATGGGGCACACTTTAAAATACAACTGTCTCCTGGTGGGGGGGGGGCTAGTCTCCAGCTGTTCCCCATTCTAACCTCCCCCCCATTCCATTGTTGTAAAGCGATCTGCCCTTCGTGGAGGTGGCTGCGCGGTCTATTGGCATTGCTATTTCCTAATTTATCCAGGTTTTAGAGGTATTCTCTTGCCTTAAATGGTCTCTGCTAGCTTGCCTGACCCTGACAGAGCGTTTGGCAAGCTAGCAAGGATGATTTAGGAATTTCGTAAAAAAATTCGAATTTTTTTCGTTATTTTTGACTCTTTCCACTCTGTTCCGGGGCACGTAATTCTCAGCAAATTTCCAAACTAGTCCAGATTTTAGAGTTTTAGCTTGGCTTCAAAAGATCTCTGCTAGTTTTCCCTAGCCTCGAAAAATTTAGGGCGAGCTGGCAGAGATTTTTTAGGAGTTTTGTTTTGCCTGTAAAGCCACTTTTTGCTTGCTAAATATGAAGGAATACCATAAATCGGAAATACGCTGGTTTCAGACGTTTTTTAGAAGTTTTTGTGATGGATTTTGTTAGGTTTTTTACCGATTTTGACGAACAACAATTCAATTCAATGAAGGGATTCAGAAGTCTGTGTTGTTGTGCATTTCTGTGCTGCTTCAAAGTGGTTCTGCTAGCTTGCCTCGGCCTAAGGAAAATTCGCCAGCCAGCAGGGTGTATTTAAGCATCGTTGCCAATTTGAAAAGGCATCTCTCTCTCTCGTTTTTCTTCATAGAACAGTAGGAGACTGTCTCTCTCGCTCTCTCACTCTCGCGCGCGCTGGTACGCGAATTGCCAAAATTTTTCAGAATCCGCTTTTTAAGATCAAGATTTCAAGATCCACTCCAGCCAACCCTTTGCCTTCACAATCCCTTTAATCCTAACCAATCGTTCCGCCACCAACTGTCCTCGAAGGTCAATAGTAAGATTATCCACCCAGCCCCATTTATGCAAATTCCCCCTCCAGGGGCACCCGGTCTATTTTTACCCACTTCCCCCGGCATTCCAAAGTTCCACCAATTTCCTCCGGACACCCCTCTAACACCATTTTCGAAGCCCCGAGGGCAGCGAATTGGTTGGGGGAAATTTGTGGGGTGCTGGATATCCCCTAGTCCGGGCCAGTGTCCACCACTGGCTCATCGGAAATCCGAAATGCGCTAAATGGGGGCCCGGGGCCTCCTTTGGTATTCATGGCTGAGGCTGTCCGGCCAGTCCGGGGGGAGAAACCCTAGGCACCCCCACTGGACCACCCATTCCGATTGCCGCATTTTTAAAGGGATCGTGAAGCCCAGCAACTCAGCCGTTCTGATCCATCTTTTTCGCATCGATCCCACCCTGGTGATCACTTTCCCGATCCCGCTCGATCTCTATCTCTCTCTCTCTCTCTCTCTCTCTCTCTCTCTCGCCCTGCTCTCCCCCCCCCCTCTTCTTCTCCTTTCTTGAATAAGACATATATTGCGAGGAGGATGAGGCGAGAGAAGTCGTGACAGAGAGATCGAGCGGCAGAGGGGAATTTTAATTGCAGCGCCTTCCGCTGTAATCAACACGCGTTTTTAGAACGTAAATGTCGCTTCCATCTAAAAAGCAACAAGCGCAGGTGTGAAGGCAAAGTTTCAAGTATTGCTCCTGCTGCGGGTGTTGAAGGAGCCTTTGGACGCCCATTTCCACCAAAAGGGGGCAGCCGATCCACTTGTCAAACAGACAGACAGACAGACATACAAATAGCTAGAGAGGAGAGAGACATAGACACAAAATACACGCATAGCCAGCCTTCCACACCACATACATACACGATTATTCACTGGTTGTGAGCGGGGCCCGAAAAAGGGTGCTGCCCCTTTTTCGGAGCCATCTAGCCGGGACAAATATTAACCCCTGGGATTTCTTTCCGCTCCATAGATACACACACCACTTCTCTGCTAGCCTTTTGATAGGGGGGGAACCGCGCAAATCGCCCGTGAATCTCCGTTTTTTTTAGCGGGCAGTGCTTTGGGGCCAAAAGGAGGAAGATCTTGTTTTTTTAGTGGCTGATATGTGCTGCTACTACTCGCAATCTTTCTGAATCTTTCGCTTACTCGATCTCCCCCTCTCTCTCGCGAGCTATCGGCAAGATTATGAATTTTTGGCCACGCGGTGGAACCGGTTAGGCCGGGAACCTTTGTGAAAATCATCAGGAGAGACCGAGGCGGTGAGAGAATGCGCGAGATAGCGAGAAAAAGAAAGGGCCTTAGTGGCTATAAACAAAACCGAACTGGCTACCCAATATTATTTTTCCCGCCGACAAGATGTTCAACGTTAAAAAATAATAAAAAAATACCTTTCTCTCTCAATCTCGCTTGCTCTCTCTCCCACTCACTCTCACGCGCTCACTCTCTCTCTCCAGCTCCCTCTCTCTCTCTTTCTCTACTCTTTTTCTCATCTCTTATTTCTTGCCGCGCTCCTCCTCCGTTGCTTAAATTTCGGGCCGTTCCAATTTTTTCCCACCCAGCAACTCCCGATCTTTAGCATGTGGCCGACCGGATATGCCTTTAGCTCTTGTCTTTATGTCGTGTGTGTAGAGTCATAAAACAATAATCTGGACGACGGATCGCTTACAACTCCCCTGGGAGGGGGAGGGGAGAAGGAGGAGCCGAAACCCCCGTCGGTTGAGTCGTCTAGGAGACCCAGGGAATTTCAAGTAAACGGATAGCTCTTGAATAGCAGGGGGGATATCCCACTCCAAATCCGCGTGAGTAAGGCCGGTA